CCAGCAGTTCTGTAGCTCAAATCACCTATGATTGTATTAGAAACTTTCTTCAGCCTCCAATTTTGACGTAACCTAAGCAAGTCTATGTGGAAATCTGGCATGTTCCGCGCCATCCTCATGGTCTCGCTGGCTCGGAGACGTTCCATGCCGGCTTGGAGGACGGCGGCGGCGGCGCTCAGTGCCTTCTTCCGTCCGTAGACTTGAACCATGGGTCGACTTTCAACTTTTTCAGGTTGGACTGGGTCAAGCACCTGGACATTATGATATTGTTTATAAAATACGTTTTTGGAGGTTTCCTGCTGTGGTTCAAAGACCGTTTTTTATAGAAATATTGTTGATGTAGAGAGATTAGTCACAGAAATAAACGTAATGAACTTCTAACAACTATGACGAACTGGTAATTACTGCATATAAACATGCCATCCTTGAAGCTGAAACCGACATACAGCCTAGCTAGCCTAAAGTGAACAGAATTTATTTACTAAACCGAGGACAAATACTAGTAGTATTGGTTGTTTTATATTTTGTGATCCAGTCAGTTTATTTTAAGTGGAGCTGGCACTTCTATTGTGTCAGAGGTCATCAGCACTAGCACCTGACAGTCCCTAACTATAGTCTGTAATAACAGTATTATTAAATTAAATATTATTTCATACCATGGACTAGGAGTGGGTGATATAAATCGTATATAGATTCAATATCTATATATCGCAGCAATATCGTTGAATCCGATATCGCCCCGCACGAAATCTATATATCGATATCAGCCGATACACGATATTGCTCGATGTGATGCGCATCGTCATATCGGACCGATTCGTGAATCGAAATCTATATTTCGATATCAGCCGATACACGATATTGCTCGATGTGATGCGCATCGGCATATCGTACCGATTCGTTAATATCAGCAATATTCGTTTGGTTCGTATCGAATCGGCCAGAGTGAGTGAGCGCACGATAGGGATATCATGTGATGAATGAAACAGAAACAGGCATTATCCATACAATTGTAAACCTTATATTTAAGTCCATATGTCTGTAGATTATTCTTAGCGTATCAGCAGGATACAATTAAGGAAAGAAGTTTCAACTTTCGACCCTAACTTGAATGCAGTATAGCCTATTTGCATCGTTGAATTTAATTTCACGCGCTTTGACCTTGAACTAGAATTTTTGGACAAGTGTTTATAAATACTTAAAAGTTTTTTGTGTTTGATTTTTAAAGTACACATTTTTCTATTTTTAGTTGAATCCAAATAATTGAGTTTATTTCTTGTGTTTGTATTAAACTTTTGAAATCTACACTCTTTTGGTATATTTTGTAATTTTAAATTAAGACACAAAATACTAAAAACTGAAAATAATGTAGCCAGTCCTAAGCCTGGTAAAAGCATGAAGGAAAGTTTTTTTGATATTTTTATTTTCATGTTCTTTTTATTACTTTAAGATCATATTATAAATTGATATCAGAAAACCAACCGTATAACGTTGACTTAAATCTATATCTACTACGATATTATATCAGCGTATCGTTTCAAATCTCAAATATCATGAATCGAGAAAATCTACTAGCATCCATCAATATATAGATTCAGAAAATATATAGATTCAATATCCGATATAGATACGATTCGATACGCGGCAAAACCGATATTACCCACTCCTACCATGGACACAGTGTTCTTTTTCCTTACCTGCTCCTAGTAACCTTTAGAGGTTAAACTAGCTCTACCAAACATGTAGCTCACTCTCACTCACATTTGGGGTCTTTTCCTGGGAAACTTTACTAACATCTGCCCTACCGAGAGCAGTGGATCGCTGAGTCTGCCAGATCAGAATCACGATCCACTGAACACACACCAATAAAAGCACACATACCATATACCTCTTCTCCTTAGCAATATTCAGTACATCCGCCAAAACGCTAACTTCAGTCAAGGCACTCCGTAACTTATTCCTAACAGAGTCCCAGGGCCATAAGCTGGACTGGTAGCTCTGGTCTTTGTTATCTTCATCTGATTTAGTATCAGAACTGCTTTCACCTTCTTTCTTGATGTTACAGAACTCATCTTCTGTTTTTGAAAAATCTATCTTCTGTGCTAGTCTTGCCAGATTTTCTGACATCGATAAAGGTCTACAAAGAGAATTAAAGTATGAATCTATATATCTATGTATCTATTCATGATGATGAATACAGATTAATGACACCAAAAAATGAAATTAAGCAGTCTATTTGTGATTTTAAAACAAATGTATTATTGTTATAGCTGATATAATTATATGCAATAGAAAATATATAAAAATTTACTTATACATTTATTTTATTAACAAAGTCTTTACTTGTACCAATTAATCTTGTGCATATGACGGGTATTAATCCAGACTTCGTTATTCAGAAAATTGTAGGACTGTAATTTTAGATTACTATTTCCAACATCATATTTTAACTACAAGTAAAAACCTGTATGATTTCTTTATTAGGGCATTGTGAAATAGGCCAATTTTTTAATCCAAATACTTTATTTAAAAATGAGCCACATTGAGATCTAGTTTCGAAACTCACTGAAGTACATTTTTCAGAAGAAAATATGTGTGCATAGCCTATCCATTCTCTTTTAACATAATACTTTTAACTTAAATCCCTTCCCATATAAAACTAGTGAAATGGGCAGCCTATGCATATGATGTTTATTTAATTGAAATAAAAAATACTAAAAAATCATTAAAAGAATATCCACAATCTAATATCAATATGTCACATTTATTTATTTATTTCAAAACAGAAGATTTTTAGGATTAACGTTTTTAACTAAATTTTGGTACCGGTTTGTAATTCAATTTGTAATTATTTTAGTTTAGTTGCATATTTACGTGGTGTGTATCCATATAAAATTTTAACTGATCAAATTTGTAAACTTACGCTTGATAAATCTCTTGCCCATCATAAGTAATCTCCTGTATTTGGTTCTCTATAGGTGCCTCTATCGATATGTTCACTGAATTTGCCATCTTACTCTTGAAAAATAAATAAACAGTACAAGAAAATTATAATTATAAATAAAATTTGACTCAAAATTTAGCGGTACTATTTTATAAACACCATATTAATACAATTCTTAAATTACAGTTAATATAAACAATAATGCTGTTCATTAAAACAGTTAAGACTTTAAATTATTATTCCATCCTAAAAACTAAAAATTCTCTTTACAACAAATCGGCTACTCTTGACTTTGACATTTACTAAGTGTATAATCTATGACTACGGTATATGTGTATTATCTATGGTATTGTCTATACTCTTGACATTGGACTTTTTGGCGGGAACGCGAGGAGTGAAGTTGTGTGATTTGTTTAATTTTGTCTATTTAGTGTTTCCGCAGGCTTAAATGTGTAACAACGGTGGTTTATTAACTGTTTAATATCTGGGAAAGTGCACAAATGTGGAAAAATGAAGCAAAGCCGCTGGACGTTACTTGTGGGGATCCTCCAAAAAGTCCACTGAAAAAATCTTAGTAAATGACCACCATTTTACTGAGATTATATTTCATCCCATATCATCTCATCTCATTTCATTCTATTTCATCCAAGTTGATTAATGTCTCAAATTAATCATCTTTCATTTCATTTCACTCCACATTATCATTTTTCATAAAAATAAGAATATAAATAAAAATAAGACGTGACTTAAAGGTCTTAGTTACCAGGTCATAAAATCCCTTGAAAAAATAAAAAAATCTTGACATTGTTGGCTTGGCTCTGCCCCTGGCATTGCTGACGTCCATGAGTGACGGTGGTCACTTACCATCAGGTGGGCTGTATGCTCGTCTGCCTACAAAGGCAATATAAAATAAAAAAGAATTATGTTGTAGTTCCATTTTTTCAACTGGAAAGACGAAAGTATCATACCATACAACCTAATCTTTTGAATATTCTAAATAATGAATCAAGCACCGTTATTACAAAGCCAAAAGAAACACCAAAATAACAAAATAAAATAATTCATACAACTTCACTCGCGTTCCCGCTTTGTAGATGTTGTTAGCCATTTCTGCTAGTGTTATATTACGGAAACAGCACATTTTAAATAAAACAAGATTGTGATTTTGTGATATTATTGGATTGGAAAGAAGTGTTTTGGTTTCCCTTTTGTATGCTAGACTCACTGAAGTAGGAAACCTAAGACTAGATGACTGTCTGTGTTGCCTAGATGGTTTACCATGATTATAAAAAATCAGTGCAGTACTTATGGCTAGCTAATTTAAGATATTGTTTTGAAGCTCGGCGTCTGCCGGAGTCACTCACTAAACGACTTCTGTACTATTCACCTGAACACGCATGACAAAAAGCGGACGGGTGACCACCGACAATATTGAAACCAGACAAACCGATTTCTATTGGCGAACCGATTCTACGTCAGCCACCTTAGACGGTGCGGTGGCGGTCCGTCATCATCCAGATAGTGCCATTGGTGGCGTATAAATTCTCGCTGGACTAGTACTAACCCGTTGGATTGAAACAGGTGGTGACTTTTTATAATTAAATCTACAGCAAGTTAGATTTCTATTAGCAGCCATGGTAGTTCAACATCTTTATTCGGCCCGAACCATCACTGAGGGAGGTCACCTCCTACAGAAAACAAGGAGTGAGACGTACTTTCTCTCTCGCTCCACCGTTCCGTGCTGCGGGATGGTGGACTTTAAGCAGTGGGCGAGCATCACCTGCCAGCAGTCGTCGCTGTAGAGCATTGTAGCCATTACGGCCGGCAGCGACAACTTTGATCTTATTTGAACTACGAGGCGAAGCAGCTTCTCCGATGCAGGACTCGGTGCTATGAATGTCTCTACTCCACCACTCCTCGGTGTCCTTGTATTCCACTGTGTTAACTGCAAAAGTAAAAGTTGTGACGGTGTTGATTGGATGAATTGCATTGATACTGAGTAACTATAATCATGGATTTCGTTAGGCTGGCAACATAGGCCCCAACCAATGGTTGTCGTCAAATTTTCTATCGATGTTTTGCGCTACTCACAACAAAATGCCTGTTAGAATTTTGTAAATGCGAACTATATTTGTAATGGATAATTTGTGTTATTATTAATACTAGGACTTTTCATCACATAAAGTACATTAAATCAATTGTATATATGAAAAGCATTCGCTATGACGGATCGTACTATTGCGGTGGGTGTCACTCTTAAACAATTTATGTGTTTTGAACCTATTACTCCGGTTAAGAAACTCGAATTTCATTCGTTCGTCGTTAAATGGCTGTATTAATTCTTAGTTGTGATCGAGTTGAAGATAATCGGTGATAAAATTTAATTGTTTGTCTGTTTTGCTCTTTAAATAAAAAAACTAATTTGTTATGCGATATACAGTTTGAAACTACTTTATGTTATTAAATTAAAAACACTTCAAAATTATGAATTTTCAATTGTATGAGCTTTTAGGAATTTAATGGGTTTGATTATAAGAAAAAATATTCAACTTCATATTACATTAATATGTGTAAATAAATATAAATATTCAAAAGAAAAATAAATAGATTATTTGTTATTCGCAGTAGTTTCATTTTGTTACATAGGTAACGATATTTTTTGCAAAGAAAGCAGGAATACTTAATTTCATTTGTTTTTTTTTTTGTAATTTATTGAAGTTTTTACATTAATTAATCTTCAGTCTCGTCCCAGCCTGGAGCAGGTAACAGCCATCGTAGACTTCATGGAGAAGCACCCTGCACTAGGGCTTGGACAGCTCCGTGGACTGGAAGGCAGAGACGAGAGCAAGAAACTGTGGTTAAAGTTAACTCGCGTTGTCAATAATATTTCTGGACCTACGAGGCCTATGAAGTCTTGGATCAAGGTTTGTTATCATAAAATTCCTTGAAATATATAAATGCATACGAATAAAAATTATACAACATTTGAAATGAGGTCTGATACTTTTTCTTTTGACAATTTTAGTTTAAATTCTTCAGTAGCACCCAGCACAGTATACACTAATCGTTGGGATAATTATGAAAAGTGTCACATTTACATCCTCAACTAGATTCTTGTCCTAATGTTTTGGACATCAGATACACAAACAAAAATTTACAAAACCTTTATTTTTATACATCTTTGACAAAGTCACGGGCTGGACTGGACTTTGACTAGAAATAAAATCTGGACATGCAACATAATTCATTCATCCATCTCAGCTTGTCATAATAAAAATAAAAAGTGTTAACAACTACTTGACCAATGAAAATTTAAATAAATTGAATTATGACCAGTAAAAATAAAACTTTATTGCTTCTATTGAAGAATTATGGCTTCATGAATACTTGTTCGAAAGCGTTTTCATTATTTGGGAATATTCCCATAATTAAGAACCTATCAAACTCTGTTTTACAGTACTGGGCTGACAAAAAATCTACAGTAAGATCAAAAGTACAAGGATGTGGTGGGGATCCAAATAGCCTATGTTCTAACATTGAGAAGAAAATATGGGATGTTTTCTTAGCAAATGATAATTCAAGTAAGTTTTATTAAATGAAATATTGTTTGATAAATTGTAATTGTAATTGTATTATAAAACTATTTGAAAGATTTGATCTCACATTTATAATACTAAATTTTCTATTGATTACAATAGGGTTGATAATATTTTTTGGTTTTTGCTACTCATAGACATTTAAAACTACTTATATGATTTAATCTTCGTCAGTCAGAATGACCATTGTCTGTGAGACCACAGTAACTGTAATTATCCGAAACGTCGCAAATAATAAAATATCAAAATAAAAATAAAAAAAGCTAGTAGAAATTAAAAATAATCATAATTAAGTTCATGATAACTTTGCAAAATTTATGTTTTTCATTGTGTTCATAGCTAACAATAAGAATATTTGAAATCAAGATTACAAGATATACATAATTATATGTGTTATATCATATGCACTCTTTTCAAATGCATACCCTCCAAACAAGTACTAGCTCAGTAATGATCAATGTATAATTTCAAGTGTGAACAATTCTTATTTATCCTATTCAAAGCATAATCTGCAATGAAAATCCACAGGAACAAATCGAGGTGCTGTGAAACAAGAATCTCATTATACTGAAGATAACTTTTTTAATGAGGACAGCATGGATCAGAACCACGTTGAATCCGATCCGGTGCTGGCGTTCGAGGAACCCGTCGCCGATGCTGAGGAGAGGCAAATGGCGGTAATGGAGAAACTGGTACATACAATACATTACATAGTCTGTTTTGACCTCATCAAATTTAGTGACGTTAACAGTGGACATTTGTACTGCCTGCTTGATGGTGAGTGGTCACCGTTGATCTTGGATATCAGTAATACCGCTACTAATACCAGGGTACTGTCAGGTCCTCACTGGGCCTACAGTCTGTATAGTTACTTATAATACTTTCTTCTTTGTCCTCTCCTTATCCCATTAGGTAGGGTCGGCACAGCAAATTTTTCTCTTCCATTCCCTTCTATCAGCCGCCATCTCAACACTCACTCCTCTCTCTCTCGCATATCGTCATTCACACACTCCACCCACGTCTTCTTCGGTCGACCTCTTCCCCTCTACCTTGCACTACCATTTTCATACATCTCCTAGTCACATGCATCTCCTCCCACCCCAAGCACCGATCATCGTTTTCGTCAAACTCGTCGCTTACGACGAAGGGCTCGACGAGTAAATTAACTTACAGACACAGCCCACTGAGTTTCTCGGTGGGTCTTCTCTCGCGATTCCGATCCGGTGGTAGATTCTGCTAGGCACGGCTCTTGCTAGGGTTCGTGCTAGCAACGTCATCAGGCTTGAGCCCCGTGAGCTCACCTACTAATTCGACGAATCTAGAATGGGTTATTCTAGATTACTAGAATAGGTAGGAAACATGTCCATACCACGCTAACCGTTACTTATAATGTTTCTAAACAGCTGTTTTCTAATAAACAGGTTAAAGTAATGAGCGATCAAGCGGCTGCGATGACTCAGTTGGCTCACGCGTCTCACGTGAACGCTCAGGCCATGGAACGGCTTGCGGAAGCGTCACACATACAGGTAAACCTTCTTTTTTTTATGAATGAAAGTTTACTGGTGGCCCGGAGGCCTTTCCAGTTTCACCAGGACAGGGGCAAAGTAAACCTGAACTATAGGGTAGTTTTATTTTCAATACGAAAAAGTCAATTTTTTTAGCTTACCAATATTCAAATAACTTTTTTTTTTATTGCGTCTAATTTACACGATCAGTTGCATTGCTGGCTCCTTAAATGTGAACTTACTATAACTATAAGGTGCGTGGCGTTTAAGAACGCACCTTATTATTGATGCGTGATCCGGAACGCACGACTGTTGGTAGAAAGATAGTCTATGACATTATTATAATTACCGCCAAAAAAGGCGATTTAAAAAAAATCACTTTATTTGTGTAAAACTGCTGCAAAAATAAAGCTGTTATTATTTAGATTCTAGTGTCAATTAAACATTGATTGCAAAACACGACTTTCACGTCAAATAAACGCGCTTTCTGTTTGGAACCCTTCAAGTGTTATCTATGCTTGGTCTCTGAATATCAATTGTATTAAATTAAGACGTACAGTAGATTGGGGGGAATAGGGACTAGCGGTAGAATAGGGACAAATCTGGATGTCACAATACTTTTGTCGGGTTGTTAGAGTTCTAACTTTGTTGAACTGAAAATTACTTTTATTTAGTGTCTCAGAATATTAAATAGTTTAATTTAGTCATCAGTTTTGTAACTCATTAAATATGTTAAAAAGTTAATTACCTAAAGTTAGGTATCTACCTAACAACTAAATAGTGTCAGCCCTATCGAAAAACTTTATTGTCCCCATACGTAACCCGATTCATCCCGACGCCTAGGTGAATAGGGACAAGGGAGGTTTTGTAACTTTTTATGATTATTCTTTAATAAACTATATCTTAATGCATTATAAATGAAAATTTAAACTACCGGAACCATTATGATCTCCGTTTTATTACTATAATTGCAAAAAAAACGATAAAAATCAATGTCGAACTTAAAAAGTGTTCCGATTCCCCCCATTTTACGGTATGTATCTTCTTTTTTTTGCTTAGATGGGTGGACGAGCTCACAGCCCACCTGGTGTTAAGTGGTTACTGGAGCCCATGGACATCTACAACTTAAATGCGCCATCCACCTTGAGATATAAGTTCTAAGGTCTCAAGTATAGTTACAACGGATGCCTCACCCTACAAACCGAAACGCATTACTGCTTCACGGCAGAAATAGGCAGGACGGTGGTACCTACCCGCGCGGACTCACAAGAGGTCCTACCACCAGTATTATTATTAACACGTTCGTACTTGTTACAGGCTCGAGCGATAGAGCGTTTAGCGAACACGTTCGACACGATCAGTGCGGCGACGCACGACGTGCGCAACGCGATCGTCGACATCGACGCGACGATGAAGCGATTCTATTCAACGTCGCCGACTTAGCATCGGTACTCGCGTATATGTGATCTGAACTGTCTGCTCGAGGACCGAGGTGACTTGTGAATTAACGTTCAACTGTATATATGTATATCGAAGGTAGATTTGTTATACCCGTCTACGTTCAGCGCGATTCGTAGACCGCGTGTCCGAAGTGTATGTTACAGTATGTAGACGTTATGTGTGAGTTGTATTATAGTATTAATATTGAGTCATTTTAATAGGTAACATTTGACGTCTGTCAGTTTTTTTTTTGAGGGATTTTATGATCTGGTAACTAAGACCTTTAAGTCATGTCTTATTTTAATTTATGTTCTTATTTTTATGAAAAATGATAATTTGGAGTGAAATGAAATGAAATGAAGATGATTAATTTGAGATATTAATCAACTGAAATGAAATTAAATGAAATAAGATGATATGGGATGAAATATAATCTCAGTAAAATGGTGGTCATTTACTGAGATTTTTACAGTGGACTATTTGGACGAACTCGAGAAGCTACGTCCAGCAGCTTTATTTCATTTTCCCACATTTGTGCACTTTCACAGATATTAAACAATTAATAAACCACCGTTAATACACATTTAAACCTGAAGAAACACTAAATAGACAGAATAAAACAAATCACAACTTCACTCCTCGCGTGCCCGCCAAAAAGTCCTCTGTCAGTTTTATCTTCATAGTGGGGTGACCTGCTTAAAAACATCGATTAAAGTGAATGAATCGATACGTACTTGAAACATATGTGAATTTTAAAAATCATCACGCGAATCCCTTTTTTTTTTCTTTCGTAAATTTAAAGAGCAAAATAAGACAAGTATGTACAGAATTTAACAAAAATATTGCATTTATTCAGTTGAACTATCAGAACTGTTATTAGTATTCTTATCTTCATCACTGCTGTCAGCACTCTGAGATATTATTAATACATTTTCAATAATATTGTCAATTCTTTCGTTCAAAATCTTGTAAAATTATTTTCTTTGTTTTCTCTACGACTTTTCTCCAGTCCTCTGTAGTGATTTCTGCACACGCAGTTTGTAGCAGAGTCATCATTTTAGCAGTAATGAAGGGTGGTTCAGTGTTGTTTCGCGCTGCATGAATATCAAGATTACTGATATTCAAATGTTACCTATTAAAATGTCCTATGAGTAATATATTTTTTATAATATGTGTTTATATTGTAAGTCAATATCTAATTATTATCTGTAAACGACCTAATGTTATGTTTTAAAATTGCTTTTTTTTGTAAAACGTAAATATTAATTGTTTTAATTCAAAAACTGCTGGTAGAACGTCTTGTGAGTCCGCGCGGGTAGGTACCACCACCCGGCCTATTTCTGCCGTGAAGCAGTAATGCGTTTCGGTTTGAAGGGTGGCGCAGCCGTTGTAACTATACTGAGACCTTAGAACTCATCTGTCATGGTAGGTGGCGGAATTTACATTCAATCATCAATGCAATGAATAAATAAAAGCAGTAGTAAAAATTTGAGAAATCCAATAAATAAATGAAAGAGTTAAGGGCCCTTATGGTGTTAAATGAAGTCTCATAGACGTCACAATGTGAATGTCGTCACTCACCTAGAGTTGAGGTCTATGCCTCAATCGTATAGTTGCTACGAAAATTTGGTTTTTATTACACGATGTTTTTTCTTCATCGTGGAGTTCACACAGTTTACGAACGTCAATTATACACATATACGATACATTGTGTACGTGCTTTGTTTTTCCATTAGTATTATTTAATAAATAAATACAATAAATTTATTTTATCTATGGTATGGTGGTTTAATAAGTTACTTAAACTTTTTTTTTAAATATGATTAATGTTGCCATTAACCGCTCGATTAGTTAGTGTGCAAAAAATAATATCACAGTTCATTGGTGACCTTGATGGGGACAAGAAGTTATTTTTCAAGATAATATTATTATATATGAAATATTAGAACCAAATTAAAATTTCCGTAAAATTTCAAGCTATAGAAATTGTTGAAACATTGTGAAAAAAATTATAGAAGCATATTCGCATCCGTATTTTTTATTATTTCTATAACCCTCCTTCAAGCGAGGCTTGTGGAGAGTATTAAGCGGTAGGCAGCGGCTTGGCTCTGCCCCTGGCATTGCTGAAGTCCACGGGCGACGGTAACCACTCACCATCAGGTGGGCCGTATGCTCGTCTGCCTACAAGGGCAAAGTCATTTTTTGAAACATATATTTTTATGGTGTTGTGTTTCGAAAATGCTTACTCGTCTCTTACGAGGCAAGATAATAAGTAATATTTCGTGTCCGAACTAAATATTTCGCGGAAGTACCGTAGCCGAGAAGTAAAACAGGCGCGGGTCTCCGATCACTGGTATAAAAAGTTAAAACCATTTTTATATATGTACTCATATTTATTATCGTGTCCATATTCATGAAAAATATACAAATGTGTTGAAAACAAAACACTGATAATCAATAAACGAACGACAGGATTTGAATTCCATTTTTTTTTAATTAAATTCATTTGATTTTAGAATTTATTGCTGGTCACACTTAAATTCCGTTTCGAATGGCCAGTATTGTAAAACGGCAACTTGATAGGTTCAAAGACTTATTATTATATCGACGCTTGAAAGGCAAACGTGACTAAGCGACAATAACTGCTTTGTACATAAATGATAGGCAATAACCATATTCGATGCGCAGTAAAAATATATTTCTAGGTCTATTAAAATCATTTCAATCCTACAGCTACTAGCTAGATTCTACTACAGCTGGATTCGTTAAAATAAATTTTATTTTCAGGTATTACAACTTTAAATTAGTCTACTGTAAAGTTCACGCATTGTCGCTTAGTCATGTTTGCCTTTCAAGCGTCGATATGTATTATAAGTACAGATCAAAATAACCTTTTCTTCAGAGACAATTTAAAAATAATACGACAATATGTTCATTATCTATAGAAGTGAAAAGTTATTTTTAGTAATTAAACGATATAAAGATTTAGTAAAGAAAGAGCTTCATTTTATTCCTAACTTAAAACATAACAGAATTTTTTATCATCACAACACACATACATTTAAACATGGTATTTTTGCACAAATACTCGAAATTCACTTACCGTTAACCTACTTTTGTATTCTATATACGAAAAACTAATTAATAACAGAAAAAAAAAACAAACAAAATTGTGTTAAAGCATTCTAAGTTACTACAAAATAAACATTGGTTTGGAAAGTATGTTTCTATTTTTAGGTTAAATTAAAATACAATTGAATCAACAGTTTCCTTGATTTATGTGCTTTTAAAATGCACAAAATTAAATTCCAATCAACGCTCTTCATCAATGTCTATTAATAATACAGTCTTAGTACACTATTCTAGTTAATACAAGAATGTTTTCGTAATAATATCATCTAAAGTAGTTAAGTGACGACAGAACTTCTTTTTACCCTCGCTTGTTGTGCGATAGGTTGCAGTCCTTCTTGTCTCTTGCCGTACGGAGATACTGGATTTGTGACGAGGTAAAAGTTGCCTTGAGCCCTGAAAATAATATATATAAAAAAATTCTAGTATGGCCATATTGAGGTCATTCATGAACACATACGATATTGTAATTTATAGACTACAGAAAAGATTCGAGTTGTACGCGGTAAACGTACAAGGATTCGTGCCATTATCCAAACTGCGCAATTATTCTTTCAAACGAAAGTTTATTTGGTCTAGTGGTTTTTAAATTTGGTAAAATGAAAAGGCTCTATCTACTAAATGTGCCTTTAAGATTTAGTCTGCGACAGACTCAGATATAATATAATACTTTAGTAGATTTCACTTCAGAACACCGGTTTTTTAATTATTATTTTAGATGGACAGACGGGCTTACAACTCTCCTGATAAGTACTGGAGTTCCAAAGACGATCACGAAGTGAAAGTAATCATGCATCTTGAGACACGAGATTGAAGTCTCCATTTTATTGTTACAAGTACCGAATTCTTCAAACCAATAAGCATAATGCTTTGCAACCGAAACATGCAGGATAGGTAGAGATCTTAAAAAAAATCTTTTGAGATCTGTCCAACGCAATGTTTTCTATTTGACCATTTTTTTTCCTACCTATGCTGATAGCCTTGAGAAGCTATTTCAGCTTCTTGACGTGTAGGTGAGCTCACGGGGCTCAAACCGGGAGTGTTGCTAACACTGCCCCTAGCAAAAGCAGTGCTTCGCAGAATCTACCACCGGATCGGAAACGCGACCCACTGAGAAGATCCGGTGAGAAATTCAGTGGGCTAATGTCACTACACATATCAAAGTAGAAAATGACAAGTGACAGTGACAACAATAAGGGCTCCGTGAGCTCATCTACTCGTCCGGTGAATCTATATTAGTATGACATTTCAAGCTTACTAGAGTGGACAAAAAAGTTGGTTTTGTTTATGGCCTTTGTAGGCAGACGAGCATACGGCCCACCTGATGGTGACTAGTTACCGTCGCCCATGGAGCTTAGCAATGCCAGGGGCAGAGTCAAGCCGCTGCCTACCGAGCCAAGGCGCTGCCTACCGAAAAATTTTATCGCCACAAGTTCATAAACTGCCTTACCGAGTGTTAGTAAGTTCTCCTAGGTATGTGGTCCGGTTGGTATCCGCGCCACCATTCGCCCACGTTTCGTAATCCGGGGCCGAAGCTGCGGGGAACGAAGTAGGTAAACCAATCGTTTCAACGTAGAACCTCCACGAACGGTCGTGGCTGCATAGATCTGTGGATTTAATGTCATTAAGACAATAGCTTTGTTTGTTATCGTGAATTACTGACCGGGTATAGTTAGACTAGCATATCTTGTTATAAAGCTGGTACATGCGTCACTGTACTCTTGACAAGCCCTTACGGATTCATAAGCAATCAGTTTCAAAGTGTGCCTGAGAGTCTGTATAATGATAATGTGCGAATTACATTCTGTACAGTATTTTAAGCGGTTTTCGTGAGTCGTAGAAATATTTAAAATTATTTTTACGTTTTAATCTCGCGTTTTTTATTGTCATTATATTATTTCCAACGCTTCGAATACATTACAGTTGTCGTCAAGGCCGGATTTAGAGGTCTGGAGGCCTCGGGGCAAAAAAGGAGCGGTGGCCCCCTGGCCTTTAATTATTTTCCAAATAAAATGAACGATTTTTTTCAGTTGAGTTTTCCAATAAATAGTTTATTGTGAAACCACGTAGAGAATCCACTTAGTATTTAAAAAAATACATAAAAATAATCGGATATAAGAATTATCTGAAATAAAATTTTAGTGCTAACGTTAACGTTAAGTAAAACAGCGAAAATCAGAATTTCGATGGAGAAGGAAAATATGTTTACTAGTATTTATTTGTCGGAATTTGAAAGATTTGTTTCCAAAGTCTCTATTGTAGGGGTCCTCCGTTTGTGGAGGCCCCGGGCTTCGCCCCAGTTGCCCTGCCCTAAATCCGGGCCTGGTTGTCGTGGACATCTGTCACACAGTCATGCGAGATTAATTCGTAAAATTACCTTTAACTGTACCAGTCTCTATGTGTTTATTTATTTAAAAGTACTTTTCACTTGAATAAATTGCTTGTTCGTGATGACATTTTGAGCTCGCACTTTGCAAGCCAGCTTTAAGCATAATCTCCTTCCAAAATAGGATCAGTAATAAAACTAGCCAATAAGCTGCAGATTGTGTCCAATAACCATATTTCACCGAAATTATTGATTAATTTCTAAAAAAATTATAATCACTACATAGTATAACACAAAGTCGCTTTCTCTGTTCCTATATCCCATATCTGTTCCTATATCTGTCTGTCTCTATGTATGCTTAAATCTTTAAAACTACGCAACGGCTTTTGATGCGGTTTTTTTTAATAGATAGAGTGATTGAAGAGGAAGGTTTATATGTATAATAACATCCATTACATAGTGGAGAAATCAATAATAAATTACAGTTTCCGAAGCGAAGCGAGGGCGGGTCGCTAGTATCTAAATACGTTATGACTCGGTGCTTAGGAAAGAGAAGTGCGCTAGGCTAGCACCGCATTCCGTGGCCTTCCAGAAATGAAGAAATATCTTTGTAAGCTTCTGGCGTTTCAGCGACTGCTTAAGTAGTCAGCGAGCTATTTCCATGTAGCAACAGAGATCCCAAGAAGCTGTGTCCAGCTCACTTAAATACAACTTATAGTTTCAAAAATTTCAAATCCATATCAAAAGCGTTGCTGTGTTGCCTCATTTCATACTAGCTCCCATAAAAGCCTCAGATTATCCTGTATAAATGACTTACGTCGTTTGCGATTGAATATGTTTTTCAGTACGTGCATAGTATTATGCTTCGTCGTATTTAATGTACCTTTAGGTGCATTGTCAGAATCTTCGTATCGATGGTACCGTACTATATGTGTACCGTCATCTGAAAAAATATCGGACCAGAACGAAGAAAATAATTTGACATGGCTCAGGAGTGAGAGTCATGGTGGTGGTGGAACATATATGTAGATCATCATCATCATCATCAGAGACGGTCTGCTCTCCCGCGTGCCCCCTAGGAGCGGACGCCCCGTATGAGGTTCGGCCCCCTTATCCGAAAAAAAGGGGATCATTAGAGGCAGATGCCTCTTAAGTTGAAGTTAATTAAGGAGAGGGTATTGCTTAAACTGTCCTCCTTAGAAGAGTATCTTTAATTGCGTTATGATACAGGAATCCGTCATCTACAGGTGATCATCTGATTTGGTATAAAATTTACTCGATCGATAACACCAAAAATTAAAACATTTTTATTAATTACACCACTAGTATTTGATGATACGTTAATGTAATTGTAAAGAAGGCTTCACAGATATTAAGTAACCTTAGACAAATAGAAAAACCCCATATGTCCTTCTTAGATAAAAATATACACTTGACAATTAGTCAAGGCATAATTAAACCTTCTAAATGTGTGCATTGCGTAGTAACTAGGTCTGAGTATAAATAGATAAGAATAAATGTGCTTACAATGGAATTATGGTAAGGTCACGAACATTTTCCATATCGGAGCTAACTAACTAACACATTTATTTACGTTAAAATTTTATTCATTTTTATAGATCTCGATAGGCAGACCAGATAACAGTCATTAATTCTAGTGCTAAGTGGCTATTGGGGCTTATAGGTATCAAAATGAGAATGTCCACGATCCAGTCTTCACTGTCAAGGTATTATTGTTGCATTTGTATGCAGCCGATGGCCGAGGGCATTTTGGTTAGGAGATTTGAACACCGGAATAGTCGCATCGCTTAATACAAATACGCTGGCCGTCTTGTAATTAAGGACTGTAGTCGTCGTGGCCGTCATGGCCGATTTTTTTATTATTTATTGCTTAGATGAATGAACTAGCTCACAGCCCAGCTGGTGTCAAGTGGTTATTGGAGCCCATATACATCTACAACGTAAATGCCGCCACCCACCTTGAGATACGAGTTCTAAGTTCTCAGTATAGTTACAACGGCCGCCCCGTCCGTTTTGTCGTCGTGGCTAAAGGATAAGACGTCCAGTAGATTCGTATCTAACTATCTAGCGATGCACCGGTGTTCGAATCCCGCAGGCGGGTACCAATTTTACTTCCACAAAACCGCTTGAACTCCTTGGACGCGAGAATATCGTAGGAGGTTCGGCTCCTTGCCCGAAGAAAAAAAAGGTTTCTTATTCTTAGTCGCCTATAGTACCAATAAAACGTACCCCTGACATTGTTGGGTCCTGTGTGCTTAGTTTTTTTTTCTACCTACCTATGCTGATAGCCTTGAGAGGCTATTTCAGCTTCGCCCTAAAATGTAGGTGAGCTCACGGGGCTCAAACCGAAAGTGTTGCTAAGTATTGCTAACACTGGCCCTAGCAAGAGCAGTGCTTCGCAGAATCTACCACCGGATCGAAAACGTGACTCACTGAGAAGATAACTCAAATTTGTATGCAGTTAGAACAGCGCCCCTAGCGGCAAACGTAAGCAAACGTTCCAATTCCATACAAATTTGAGTTAACTTTTACGCTATCGAGAACGTTAAAAAACTCATACTAAGCACACAGAACGGTCATTATTCGTAAGGCTATTAAAAAATCTTGAACAAAATCTTACCTTCTCTGCTAAACATTTCAAATTCTCCCTCATCACATCCAGGCTGGGTTGATTTCTTGCCTTCGTAATTTGGCCATATGTCAACTGTAGCAATGGAAGAGCTGGTTCCGTAGCCACCGGGGTCGCTGTGAATCGTATCCACGAATCTAGCACAGGTCCGGTCCAGCCCTGAGTAAAGCGCTAGCGTTCCTTCGAAGAGGGCTCGTGCGGGGTCCAAACCAGTTATCCTAATTTAAATACAAAAAATAGATTTCCATCATTGTTTGGACTACTCTATAATAATTGGAGATTTTGATACGAACTTATACTGATTTATTATATGCAATTGTTAAACCTTGTGGATATATAATCATATTGTGAATATTTAAAGCTGGTTCAAGAAGGTCACAAAGAGGTAAGTCGAATCATTAATATCAAATGAAATATTCAAGAAGAACATGAAAATAAATTTTTAAATTGTTATTCCACATGGTTCTTGGCAATAATCTATACTAATATATACATTTACAGTAGTTTTTACGGATGTTCCGTTATAACTACTGAACCATGCATCCGATTGACTTGAAACTGGGTATCCATGTAGAAAATACATGTACTTAATGGATTGGCTAATATTAATTAATAATAATTAATATTTATATTTGCACAAAAGATCTGACGTAAATCATTTTGTACCTTGCAACTGTATAACCCTTTTCTCTAGCTTGTTTTCCAGCGTAACCCATCATGTGAGCCCCAAGAGAGTGTCCTACCAAGTGAATGCTCGTCATGTTGATCCCAGCACCAGACAGCCTCACTAGGGCGTCGCCCATCTGCTTTCCTATCTGAAATTGAAAAATGGTATAATTTAATGAGTCAGGAAAGTGTGATTTTTTTTACTTTTTTCTTCCTATGGTTCTAATTTGATGATAAAGGCAATGATTTACACCAGGGGCAGTCGGGGCAAGTACCTAGGGCGGCAAATTTTTTAGTGCGGCAAATTTTTTAGGGTGGCAAAATTTTTAAAGTAAAAATTTTTTTTTTAGTCTTATCAAGATAGCAGCTCTATATATTTTATTAATTCTAATAATTAATAATTTTCTTTTTAATTAATAATTCAAGAAATTCAATTCATACCTTATTTGTGAATTATAATCTATAGAATTTTCTGCAATAAATAAGTTATTTTAATTTTGAAAAATAAAATATATAAACTATATATAAGTTTAGGTAAAATTCCAGTATCGGGGCGGATTTTTTCCGCAGCGGCATTCAGTTTAAATCCGGCCCTGGATAAAGGTGTCTTTTCATTTGTAATTAATTACCTGTATTGCTTTAGGCACAGCATATAAAGCATAGCTCAAAGGCAATCCCAATAGTCCGCTCTGAGCCTCCTCTTCCCAGTCCAACAATAAGACATTTCTCTTCTTAGTGGCTAAGTAAGCCGACAATACCGCCGTGGTAGCTGGTCCTTTGACCCTACCCCGAAATCCAAAGGTGTAGGCGATCGTGGGTAAGTCAGGGTCAATACAAGATATGAAGGACGGTGACAGAGATTCAGTTAGCGGAGCCACAATGAAGTCATCTAAAGATCTGCAAGCACCAATTTGATAGCATATTAAAAAAACAAAAAAAAAAACAAAAAAATATAATTTGCCTAATTACTGGTGGTAGGACATCTTGTGAGTCCGCACGGGTAGGTACCACCACCCTGCCTATTTCTGCCGTGAAGCAGTAATGCGTTTCGGTTTGAAGGTTGAATGCAGCCGTTGTAACTACTGAGACCTTGAAACTTATATCTCAAGGTGGATGGCGCATTTACGTTGTAGATGTCTATGGGCTCCAGTAACCACTTAGCACCAGGTGGGCTGTGAGCTCGTCCACCAATCTAAGCAATAAAAAAAAATTGAATTCAATTTAATTTGATTTATTACATCCAGTTTAAATCCTTAAAAAACACGCTTATACGGAAAACCAAACTGATAGTTAATTTTATCTTTGTTTAATCCTGTGATAGTACTAGTCAGGATATTAGAACGAATTTATAAAATAATTGTATTGTATACGTTCCTTGATGCGTGTCCACATTTTCCAGTAAATCGGGCATCTTGAGGTCGGTGATAATGACATTCAAATATTCCATTATATACAAACCAAGATACACGTGTACGGAGCGAATAAAAGATTGTGAATAATAGAGCGATAGGTATGAAGTTAAACTCATACGAGTAGAGCGTAATGTGGATCCGCACGCACGTATTAATCACCCTGCCTATTTTTACACGCTATAATAATATATTAGCTTCACTTGTATGTATGTTTGTAACTGACTCCTTTAGACGCGATTTTGACCCGCTTTCAACGGCCAGATTTCATTCAAACTTTGTAGATTTATCGAGGACCGATGACAATTAAATATTAAAAAAAAATTGAAAAAATTGAAATTCAACTAAAAAATGAAAAATAAATAATAGTTTAAAAAAACTTTTCTGACAGATATGAGTAGAAGAATTATTATTTCAATAATATCTTAAAAAGCACCCCACGCTTTTTTTACAATAAAATATATATTTTTTACACTATTTTCAATTTAAATTTATTAAAATTTGTTTTCTATTTTTTACTTGAATTTTATATAAAGCGTGTTTTGTAGTTTTTTTAAACTATTATTTATTACAGCTAAGCATCATAGTCATATCATACCGGTTTTCTGGGTTGGAGGGACTTGTAACAGCTGTTAAACGAGTTTATTGTTATTTCATTGTTTTCGATCGCGTTTATTTGAACTTTTAGTTTGAAATGTGACCGTTAATCCAAACTAAATTTCACCCAATTTCTGCATCTTTCGAAAAGTATCGTTCAAGAAAGAATGATTAAATTATACAACAGTATTTCATAATATTCCGTAAGACCATAATATTCGTTACCGAATACTAAATTTTTGTTTTTGTTTTCATATTATGTTTGATCCTTTGAGCCGAATATTTTTACGGCCTATCTTTTTTTCGGCTACTGTTTTCGAAATTCATATAAACAATATTACATCATCATTAGCCTGTATCTGTCCATTGGTGGAGGCCTCTCTCAAGGGGTGTAAGCGGTGGCGATGGAGTTGGATGGATGGAGAACTACTCAATAGTCAACCTCACTTGCCCGTGGTGCACCTTGCTAGTTAACGGGGACCGATAGATGGCGGTATAACCTTCCGTAATAAGCTGTGTCCCTAAATAACAACACACCAAGACATGGGTAACAGCATTCTCTGCCCTGAGGAAAAGACATAGTACCTACTGTCAAGCGTGGTCACTATTGGCATTACCTTCCCAATATTACATGTATTTATAATATATTGTATAGGGAATTAGAGAATTATAGTATTGTAATTTTTGTTTTTTTATTCAATAACAAACTTAAAGGAAGCTATTTGTGTGCGAAACAATAATATAGAATGTATAATAGTTATTGTATTTAGAATTCCAAGGTAAATCGTTTATCGTTAGCAATGTACGAGTTACAAAATCTTACAATGTCGTTTGAAGTTTTAATTTAAACATTATGATAATAATTGTAAATAGATGTGCTTTAACAAAAACCGACTTTAAATACAAAAAAAAAAGACATTCCAAAACAAATTAATATACCCTAAAACAATAATCATCGAAATCGGTAGGCGTGATGTTGAGTTATTGAGTTATTCATTTATTTGTCGCGCACGTACTAAATGCAAACTGGACTAAATTGAAATGGGACCACACGGGAAGCGTCAGCTTTCTTATAAAATAAGAATCATCAAAATCAATTCACCCAGTCAAAAGTTATGAGGTAACAAACATAAAAAAAACATACAGTCGAATTGAGAACATCCTCCTTTTTTGAAGTCTGTTAAAAATATAACCCGCATTGTACGATATATAAAGGGAATTGAACTCACAATCAGGCAACATAGTATAAGACACCTGCTACTTCTAGCTACCGTTATTACAGTTGTATGTACCTACCCCTCAATAAGCTCTTCCTTCTGCATAAGAAATCCTGTTTCAAGTTGTATAAGTTAACGGGCAAGCTTCTGTCTATTTTTGACATTGTATTTATGTAATCCAATATAAAGCGCAGGATATTACAGTACTAATGAGAGTGTGGCTTTGTATCGTAACCTCTGGACTTGCCCAGGAACCATTTGGGTTAAAAAAAAAAAACAAAACATAGTAACTAGCATGAAGTATATATGCTACTTACTATGTGTGGATATGGAGGAGAATAACCTCATCCAGAAGGATTCCCAAGACCGGGCAAAGTGGAGGAGTTTAATTTGGGTAGCATAATGTAATCCTAAACCTAATCACATGTCCGTATCAGAGGTATCTGTTACAGATGCGTTGTGCAGCACATAGCATAACTAGAATTATGTATAGCTACTTACTATGTGTGGATATGGAGGAGAATAACCTCACCCAGAAGAATGCCGAAGACCAGGCAAACTGGAGGAGTTTAATTTGGGTAGCATAATGTAATCCTAAACCTTATCACATGTCCGTATCACGGGTATTTGTTACAGATGCGTTGTGCAGTACATATTTGATTTCCCCATTTCCAACAGCCATCTCTAATCGAAAGAAATCTACCTAATGATGGTTTTTTTGCTTAAATGGTTGTAGCTCACGAATCTCCTAGTATTAAATGGTTACCAGACTTAAATACCACCGACCAGCTTAAGACTGGTTAGATCTAAGTCTTAGTTTTATAGCATAGTGTAGCGGGAAGCGCCAAAGAACACAAGACGAACACACACATTAGTATTGAGGTCAACATGTGAACTTGGACTGAGTGCTCTTATTAAGCGAGCGCAGTTGTTGTTCAGTAAGCCATTCGGCAATATCTTGCGTCACGGCACCGCCTTCTGGAGTTTCGTTAGTCGAATTAAATCTTTACGATTGATGATTAATTTTAACTCGAACAAAGCGTTCTTACATACCTTTCAGTCGCTAGTGTTTGTGTATTTGAATGATCATTGAACTCGCTTCGAGTGTGTTGACCACTTTAAATGTTTCTGTGGGTAGCCGTAATTTATAATACTGTACCAATTCCCGAGCTTATTATCTATGTCACTTATTTTTAATAGCCTATATTCGGTTTCAAATTTTTAACGCCCTAAACACGTCATTACGGTTCCTCCCGATCCATTAGGGATGCTTTTAGATACCTCGAGCATCGGTTACCGTACTCGCCAAACCCGTCACTTGTGACGAAGGGCTCGACGAGTAAATTAACCCATAGACACAGCCCACTGAGTTTCTCGCCGGATCTTCTCAGTGGGTCGCGTTTCCGATCCGGTGGTAGATTCTGCGAAGCACTGCTCTTGCTAGGGCCAGTGTTAGCAACACTCCCGGTTTCAGCCCCGTGAGCTCACCTACACGTCAAAGAGAAGCTGAAATAGCCTCTCATGGCTATCAGCACAGGTAGGAAAAAAAGTTTTACAGTGAACGTTGTGAACGCTACAGAGGAATTCAAAATACAAAATTCTAATGCTTCGGGACTGTTCTTTTAAATTCTAAATAATCCTGACCACTCACGAACATTGATCATGTAATTTACTTTAAAATGTAAGTTTTGAACTCGTGATCCTGAGTTTATTAGTCGTGGTCATGGCAGAGTCGCTGGAAGATTTAGGGCGTATGCTCGGTGACCTCAGTAGGGTTTCTCAACAAGTGGGTCTTAAAATGAACATGGACAAAACAAAAATCATGTACAATGTCCATGTTGCACCCACCATAGTTACTGTTGGGAGCTCTACTCTTGAAGTTGTTGACGAATATATATACCTAGGACAGGCAGTCCGATTAGGTAGGTCCAACTTTGAGAGAGAGGTCAGTAGACGGATCCAACTCGGCTGGGCAGCGTTCGGTAAACTGCACAACGTCTTCTCGTCCAAAATACCTCAGTGCCTTAAGACAAAGGCGTACAACCAATGTGTGTTACCAGTGATGACTTACGGCTCGGAGACGTGGTGCTTCACTAGGGATCTTTTTAGAAGGCTCAAAGTCGCGCAGCGAGCTATGGAGAGGGCTATGCTCGGCATTTCTCTACGTGATCGAATCCGAAATGAGGAGATCCGTAGAAGAACGAAGGTTGCTGACATAGCCCGTAGAATTAGTGAACTGAAGTGGCAATGGGCCGGCCACATAGCACGAAGAGAGGACGGTCGATGGGGCAGAAAGATTCTGGAGTGGCGACCACGTACTGGCAAGCGCAGTGTGGGACGGCCACCTACTAGATGGACCGACGACCTAGTAAAAAGCGCTGGGTCTCGTTGGATGCAGGTGGCAATGGACCGGTCGCACTGGAAATCTATTGGAGAGGCCTATGTTCAGCAGTGGACGGCGATAGGCTGAAATGATGATGATGATGATGATGATGATGATGATCACATCCATCCGACATCCCATATCTTGCCCATAGTAGCTATTAAATAAATAAAACAAGTCCTCTTACCGATCGTATTCATAATTACGAAATGTTTAAAAGACTTAATGCAATTTCAGAAATTACGACATTATGTCATAAAATTTATTATATAATCGATTTTTAAATTGCACATGTGGAGGAATACGATCGCGACAAGAAGCTGGTGTGCAATCTATAGGCAACGCGAATGAATACCACTTGAGACATGGTTAAAGGCTCGATTTTATTGTACAACGACTATTTGGCGGCATAATTAAGCTGAATGGTGATACCTACTCGTCCGATCTTGTTATAAAGTTATAATACCTTATATTTAATACACGTAACCCTTCTATAAAACGGTAAATACGTTCCTACAAAGTCTAGTGTTATGCAAAACCGTGCAACGAGTATATGAGACTAGAAGCCAGTACAAAAAGTAGAGTGATTTGAATGGCTACTCAACCTGCTACAGCTATGTCTGTATGTTTTTTTTTTACTATTAAACATAAAATAATAAGGAGTAAAATTTCGGTTATTCCCATAGTATTATATGTTGTGTTCATAGTGCTTAATATAATTTTCTAAATAGTTTTAGTCAAAAATCTCATCGTGTTGTAGAAGTGCCTATCACCACTAAAATCTTATTAAATCAAGGTACCCGCAGTTTCCTTCATTGGTAAAATAATAATACGACCATGACAAGTAATAAATTAAACTCGTTTCTACGCTTGTAAAGCATGCGCACACTGGATTACTCAATTTCGTTGATCTGCTCTTTTCACCCTGAAAGGTGAATGAAGTGTTCACAATATATTTTTCTCTTATAAGCTGCCTACCGTCATCTACTTAATAAAAGACGCGATTCAATGAATTAAATGTTAAATTACATGTAAAATTTTCAACAAAAAGAGATAAAAACTCCGATATGAAAGCAAACCGTGGGCAAACCTTTTTTTTTTTTTTAAATGATAAATTAAATATTTTGAAAAGAATTTAAATCTCTTTAAATAAATCCCCTTAAAAATGCAGTGAACTCCTTAAGTAAATTAACTACAGCTTAAATTTTATTTACACTATTTTCAAAATAGCCACAATCAAAGTATGCTTTTGTGGTATCGTTTTCATGCAAGAGAAGAACAAAAATGGTCGAACCCGTTTATTCTAGAACATTTACGACACACACATTTTGAAGAAGAAAAAAAAAGAAGAAAAATAAGCAACTTCTTTAAATAAAATGCCTAATCTAATGTTCATCGTTCAAGAAGTTGCTCGGTATTTAGTGTCGCGCCACAGTTGCTGTTCGAAACATAGCAACCCTATTTTCCTCACCGCGGCGGAAGCGGGAGAGACGCGTGGACTTGCAAAATAAAACAATGTGCATCAACGAAGAAACGACACAATCATTGTCGATTCCGTAAAACTGTACAAACTTTAATCCGATTTAATAAACCAACTATAAGTACAGTCCACTTTTATTTGAATACTAGCGACCCGCCCTCGCTTCGCTTCGGAAACTGTAATTTATTATTGTTTTTTTTTTTTTTTTTTTTTTTTTTTTTTTTCCACTATTTAATGGATGTTATTATACATATAAACCTTCTTCTTCAATCACTCTATCTATTAAAAAAAACCGCATCAAAATCTATTGCGTAGTTTTAAAGATGCATACATAGGGACAGACAGATATAGGGACAGACAAATCGACTTTGTTTTATACTATGTAGTGAAGCCTTGCACCCAACATCTCATCGCAACGTCGCCAACAGTTGCCGTCGATTCGTTGCGTTCGCCGCGCACCTCTCGGGGAAAGTGACCGTTGCCCGACTGTGATTATGACCGATTATACAATACGTCCCATTGGTCTACTTTGCACGACCTTGTATCTACCTATCGTATGTGTGAAATTTGATGAGATATGTATTTTGGTTTCGTAAATTTTCTTTCGGCGATTTGTGGTTTTAACCCAAAAAATTTTTTTTTATATATCTCGTTCAGAGTGCTTTGACTGTTATTATTGGAACATACGTTCAGATTAGCTGCTATTGTGACACCATAGCTTGACCCTGTGACATAGTTGTTGTCATCTGTCTATCCGTCAATCAAAAACGTCCGAAGCTGTATCATGAGGTTGTAGCATGCTGCGAGGTATGGCACGAGTATAAGTTGTAGGCCGCCTTTTATATTGGATGAACGAGCTCATGGCTGAGACAGTTCTAGGTGCTCACTGGAGTCCATAGACATCATAGTTCGACCACCGTTGCTGGGTTTCAAACATGACGTAGAAGTCCTAATTGTTTTACATAGTTGTTCACACTTCAAAGTGGAACGCATGACTGATTCGAGACAGAAATAGCCAGAATGGTGGTACCTACCCGCATTTGTAGGTAAAATAAAAAACCCACCAATTAGGTACATACTCGGAGATTCACTCATAGGAATACAATTATGTTTATTTTTTATTGCTTAGAAGCGTGCACCAGCTCACGGCCCACCTGATGTTAACTGGTTACTGGAGCCCATAGACATCTACAATGTAAATACTGCAAAATGAGTTGTAAGGTCTCAACTCTCACTTTTAACAGTACAACGGCTGTCCCGCCCTTCAAACCGAAACGCATTACGGCTTCACGGCAGCGTGGTGGTACCTACCCGTGCGGACTGTTAAGACGTCCTACCACCAGTAATTACGCAAATTATAATTTTGCGGGTTTGATTTTTATTGCACGATATTGTTCCTTCACCGTGTAAGTCAATTGTGAACATTTACTAAGTACGTATTTCATTAGAAAAATTCGTGCCTGCCGGCGGGATTCGAACAGAGTTGCATCGTTACTTAAGAATGTAACGGAGGTCTTATCCTTTAGGGCACGATGAGTTAGCAGTAGTAGTGTAGTAACCTTAAGCCCACTGAATTTTCGCCGGATCTTCTCAGTGGGTCGCGATTCCGATTCGGTGGTAGATTCTCCGAAGCACTGCACTTGTTAGGGTAGATGTTAGTAAAGTGGTCCAGACTGAGCCCCGTGAGCTCGCTTACATGTTCGGTAAAGGTAGTATAACCCCTCGAGGTTACTAGCAGTTCGTATGCAAAAAACAAGCAATGACTATATAACAATTACGTACATTACCCGCAGTGGTCGTAAGGCGTGTCGAACGTTTATTGTTTCATTGTGTCTTCTATGAATTGTAATTTAATTTAAATTTATGTATGTAGTACCTATATAATATATGTATGTATAGACCAAAAGAAAGAAAAAAAAAACGTTATTAATAAATTCGAAAAAGTGTATAAAAATTCAAATATCGAATTACGAAAATTTGTATTAAATTTCTGATAGATAAACTAATTGCTTTCCATGCTTTCTTTTTATTGCCGTTCTCCGAGCGAATCATAATGCTTGATCGCTTCGCTCGCAGCCAAAACGGCCGTGCAAATCATCGTAAACAAACAAAACTATTTCTTTTTTTTTATGGGATTTTATGACCTAGTAACTAAAACCTTTAGGTCAAGTCTTATTTTATTTTATATTCTTATTTTTATGAAAAATGATAATATGGAGTGAAATGAAATGAAGATGATTAATTTGAGACATTAACCAACTGGGATGAAATAAAATGAAATGATATGAGATGATATGGGATGAAATATACGATCTTAGTAAAATGGTGGTCATTTACTGAAACTTTTTCAGTGGACTCTTTGGAGGATCCCGAAAGGTTACGTTCAGCGGCTTTGTTACATTTTCCCACATTTGTTCACTTTCACAGACATTAAACAGATAATAAACCACCGTTATTACACATTTAAACCCGAAGAAACACTAAATAGACAAAATAAAACAAATCACACAACTTTACTCCTCGCGTTCCCGCCAAAAAGTCCTCAAACAATTTCTTCGTAGTTCGTAAACACAGATAAAATAGTATTGATTCTGTCAATGTCTTCTCTAGAGCAGATAAAAGGAAACTTACCCTTTGTAACATCTTAGCCATGCTGCTTCTATCAATTTAGTTAAATCTGAAAAATTATTGTTCATTTAGACGTTGTTATGTCCCAATATCTGAAGCGTGGAATCAGAATCAATATTGAAAAAAAAAAATTAATAATCGTATGGTTTCTTTACTGAAATATAGATTTGAAAAAAAAAAGAAAAAAAAAAAAAAAAAAAAAAAAAAAAAAAAAAAAAAAAAAAAAAAAAAAAAAAAAAAAAAAAAAAAAAAAAAAAAAAAAAAAAAAAAAAAAAAAAAAAAAAAAAAAAAAAAAAAAAAAAAAAAAAAAAAAAAAAAAAAAAAAAAAAAAAAAAAAAAAAAAAAAAAAAANAAAAAAAAAAAAAAAAAAAAAAAAAAAAAAAAAAAAAAAAAAAAAAAAAAAAAAAAAAAAAAAAAAAAACTAAATTCTGCGAATTAGGTATTTCTTGGAAGATATAAATTGAACAAATCTTAAAATTTACAAAATATTTTGATGTTTCGAATCGAAAGTTGTTGTCAATGAAAACATTTATAAATTTTATTACAATAAATTTTTACTTAGCGATTTACATACCTACAGAATATTATATTTATTTTTTAAATGGCAATTTTATGAATAGTTTAGAGCGGAATTTTAAATATATTTAAATTTATAAAAAATATGAAAAATTACCGAATCCACGTAGTAATTACAATTTTTATTTTTATTAAAGCACTCGTATTTTCATCTATATTATGTGAATAGTAGAGATAATTAATATTACTTTTACGGTTTAATCCCGTGTTTTTTAATGCCGTTATATTATTTTTTTCGACGTTTCAAATACTTTACTGTTTTCGTGCTCACGGACGACGGAAACCGTAAAATTAGTTTTAAATAATTATATCGTATTTTCAATAAACACTTAAAGAACAGATCAAATAACAGAAATTAGACACAAAGAATGTTAATACTTACTTAAAACCACTAAGAAATTAATCAAATTCAATTTTAATACTAACATCATTCACTTTTAAAACAACAAAGTTTATTTATTTATTCGCGTTAAAAGCAGCCGCACAAAAAGACGTGCGTGCAGCTACCGTAAACAAACTAAATGATTTATTCCCTGCCTCTTCGCACGTGTGAACTTCACTTAATATAGTCAGCAACGAAACAAAACTTGGCCTTTTTAGATGAAAAAAAAAGTTGATAGTGGGTTATCAAATTGATACAAGGACAATTTTGGATGTCAACTGTTCAGATATTAAAATAGGTCCAACCATGAAGCACCCGCAAGCATTCGGCGTTATTGAATAGTTATCAGTCTAAATTGAAAACAATGATTACCATACCTATTGTATTTGAATTACATGGATAATTTCATTGTAACTCTTTAGTAGTGTTACGAATTGTTATACGTCCATTTTTCGATAATGTGTCATGGGCCTAATGTGATAACAGGCTGTGCGACTTTTCAATCAGTGGTTTGGGAATGCAACTAAATTAACCTCGCACTATAACTACTGATTTTCACTAACCTTCCTCTATAAAACGTTGCAATCTACAATCCATGGTATGGGACTGGCAAGACAAGTAGATGACTAGAATTTTAATTAAACTCTTTCATATATATGTAGGTATGAAAGACGAAATATAGTTTATTAAAGCTAGAAGTTCAAAAGTATACTTTATAAAATAAATAAGTAGCGATAAATTTGATAATCAATCCATTTAGTATAATAATAGTATCCTAGTAGTGATCATGGAACTACTGTGCTTATTCACCATATTAAATGCTGCTATGACGAACTGCATCTTTCCCGCGGCGTGGAAAGAAGCGGACGTTATCGGCATACACAAGCCGGGCAAACCGAAGAACGAAACCGCGAGTTACCGCCCCATCAGTCTCCTCCCGGCGATAGGCAAACTATACGAACGACTCCTTCGTAAACGCCTCTGGGACTTCGTATCCGCGAACAAAATTCTGATAGACGAGCAGTTTGGATTCCGCGCCAGACACTCGTGCGTCCATCAAGTGCACCGCCTCACGGAGCACATCTTACTAGGGCTGAACAGGCGGAAACCCATTCCGACAGGAGCCCTCTTCTTCGATATAGCGAAGGCGTTCGACAAAGTCTGGCACAACGGTTTGATATACAAACTGTATAACATGGGAGTGCCAGACAGACTCGTGCTCATCATACGAGACTACTTGTCGAACCGTTCGTTCCGATATCGAGTCGAGGGAACGCGTTCCCGGCCCCGTCACGTCACAGCCGGAGTCCCGCAAGGCTCCGCCCTCTCCCCGTTACTATTCAGTTTGTATATCAACGATATACCCCGGTCTCCGGAGACCCATCTGGCGCTCTTCGCCGATGACACCGCCATCTACTACTCGTGTAGGAAGAAGGCGTTGCTTCATCGACGACTTCAGACCGCAGCTACCACCATGGGACAGTGGTTCCGGAAGTGGCGCATCGACATTAACCCCACGAAAAGCACAGCGGTGCTCTTCAAAAGGGGTCGCCCTCCGAACACCACGCTGAGCATCCCTCTCCCGACTAGGCGCGTCAACACCCCCGCCCCCGCCGTTCGCCCAATCACGATGTTCGACCAGCCCATACCGTGGGCCCCGAAGGTCAAATATTTAGGCGTCACCCTCGACAGTAGGATGACATTCCGCCCCCACATCAAGACGGTACGCGACCGTGCCGCCTTCATTCTAGGACGTCTCTACCCGATGATATGTAGGCGAAGTAAAATGTCCCTTAGAAATAAGGTGACACTCTACAAAACTTGCATACGCCCCGTCATGACCTATGCAAGTGTAGTGTTCGCTCACGCGGCCCGCATACACTTAAAATCATTCCAAGTCATTCAATCCCGTTTTTGCAGGATAGCCGTCGGAGCCCCGTGGTTCGTCAGGAACGTCGACCTCCATGACGACCTGGACTTAGAGTCCATCAGTAAGTATCTGCAGTCGGCGTCCATGCGCCACTTCGATAAAGCGGCACGACACGAGAACCCTCTCATCGTGGCCGCCGGTAACTACATTCCCGATCCTGCGGACAGAATGGAAAGCAGTCGACGTCGCCCAAAACACGTCATCTCGGATCCTCCCGATCCACTAACGGTGCTTTTAGGTACTTCAAGCACCGGTCACCGTTCTCGTCGAACCCGTCGCTTGCGACGAAGGGCTCGACGAGTAAATTAACTCTCAGACACAGCCCACTGAGTTTCTCGCCGGATCTTCTCAGTGGGTCGCGTTTCCGATCCGGTGGTAGATTCTGCGAAGCACGACTCTTGCTAGGGTTCGTGTTAGCAACATCGTCAGGTTTGAGCCCCGTGAGCTCACCTACTAAAGTTAAGGCTACGCTGAAATAGCCGCTAGGGCTATCAGCTTAGGTAGGAAAAAAAAAAAATGTGCTTATTTTTACTGCTAGCAACTTTTTAATAATGTAAAAGTATCTTACACTAAAAATAATGTCTACATTTGGTATTTAATAGTAAATAGTTCGGCGGACGGTACTAGTGGGGTTAACGGTAAATTTTTGAAGTTATACTTCTTAAGGCGCGTTATGAAAAATTGATGAGAGTGAAATTTTACGATGCGCGCGCACCGTGACACCTAATTAACAGAATGAAGTTGTCCACTAAATCGCTCATTACAATACGACCGACGTAACTTGGCGAGTCTGAATAAAGCCGCAGGTGAAGTTTCGCGCATGTACACTCGTAAAAAAAAGTGTTATTAGCATTCATTTTTTAGTAATATAAATGACAAAATTATTATTTAATATAATTCATACTAAATATTATTAAATTATTAACGTTAAATATTTATTATTAATTATTTAACATTAAAAAAAGAAGAAATAAATTTAATAAAAATAAACTATAACTTCTTACGCGCGTACTTATGTACACGCACCCTTTTTTTATTGCCTTTGTAGGCAGTCGTTCATACGGCCCACCTAATGGTGAGTGGTTACCGTCGTCCATGGACTTCAACAAGCCAAGCCGCTGCCTACCGAAAAATCCCTTTATTCCTTTATTCAGCCAATACAAGAGACAGCACTAAGCATTACTACCTAATTAAAAGTAATTTTACTTTTTATTACCGACGTTTCAAATACTTTACAGTTTTCATCGAAAGGTCGACTTTTTTTTATTGTTTAGATGGCTGGACGAGCTCACAGCCCACCTGGTGTTAAGTGGTTACTGGAGCCCATGGACATCTACAACGTAAATGCGCCACCCACCTTGAGATATAAGTTCTAAGATCTCAGTATAGTTACAACGGCTGCCCCACCCTTCAAACCAAAACGCATTACCGCTTCACGGCAGAAATAAGCAGGGCGGTGGTACCTACCCGCGCGGACTCACAAGAGGTCCTACCACCAGTAACAACGCAAATTATAATTTTGCGGGTTTCACTTTTATTACACGATGATATTCCTTCACCGTGGAAGTCAATCGTGAATATTTGTTGAGTACGTAATTCATTAGAAAAATTGGTACCAGCCTGGCATTCGAACAAAGTTGCATCGTATTATGAAGTCGTCGTGGCCTAAGAGATAAGACGCCCGGTGCATTCGTGTTGAGCGATGCGACCATTTAATTACCTATGTCTACGATTCGCGAAAACCGAAATAAATATAAGTTGATTTTGTCTTTCTTTTTCGGAAACTATTCAGTGATAGGTTGCACGTAGATTTCAAAAACCTGCCGAAGCATAAATTGAGGAATAACGTTGTTGTTAGCTATTGTATGTACCACGGGGTCGCGGTTGATTCACCGTCGGAGTAATTGTCTTTTAGAGACATTGATTAGGTACATTTTATTTTATACTAGCTTATTTTATACTAGCAGACTTCGTAGTGCCTCAATCGATAAATAAAAGACCTAAACTTTTGTATAAAATAAACTAAAAACAAACCAAAGGAATCCGTCCGACGGGGGACACATCAAAGGAAAAACAAAATCTTTATTTTTATTTAATTCCGAGCATTTTCATATTTTTCTACCTTTTAAACCTTCTCTGGACTTCCACAAATAATTTAAGACCAAAATTAGCTAAATCGGTCCACCCGTTCTCGAGTTTTAGCGAGACTAACGAACAGCAATTCATTTTTATATATATAGATAAAGATAATAATATAAATAGATTAAAATTTGATGGTTTTGTTTTATTATTGCTAAGACTGGTGGATGAGCTTAGAGCTGATGTTAAATAATTGCCGGAGTCCACAGATATCAACAATGCAAATTCCGCTACCTATCCTGAGATATAAGCTTTAAGCCTCAGTTTGTTAGTGTAATGGATGATTTTTCAAACCGAAACGCATTACCGTATCACAGCGGGAATAGACAGTGGAGTGGTACCGACCCGATGCCTATTAGCTGGTAGCCTAAGGGACTATTACAGCTCCGCGCGGACGGATAGGTGAGTTCACGGACTCAACCTGAGAGAAATTGTTAACACTAGCCCTAACAAGAGCAGTGCTTCGCAGAATGTACCAACGGATCGGAATCGCGACCCATTAAGACGATCCGGCAAGAACCTCCGTGGGCTGTGTTTATGGGTTAGTTCGCTCGTTGATCTCTTCGTCGTAATCGACGAGGACGGTGATCGGTGGTTGAAAATCTTAAAGCACCGAATGGTGGATGCGGAGATTCGATAAGACGTTTTTCGAGCGATGACAGCTTTGGTTGTCTCGTCGTCTAGGTCGGATATGTAATTAAGGGCGGCCACGATAAGAAGGTCACCGTGTCGTGCCGCCTTATCGAAATGTCTTCTGACGCTACCGTAAGATAATTAAGTATCGGTCCTAATTTAGATCGTCATAAAGGTTGACACTTTCACGTGTCACGGTGCTCCGACTGCTAACCTGTAGAAACGGGATTTGATGGCTTGGAAAGAGTTTATTTGCTTGCTGGCCGCGTGAGCGAACATTACGCGAACACTACACTGGCATAGGTCATAGCCTTGTTACTAAGGACAATTTTCTTCGTTTGCAGATCATGGAGTAGAGTCGACCGAGTAGGGACCGGGCTCTATCGCGTACTGACTTAATGTAGAGAATGAATGTCATCCTTTGTCGAGGGAGACGTCTTAGTACTTGGCCTTCGAGACCCACGGTATGGGTTGACCAAAGATTTGATGGAGTTACCGCGCCTAATTCGTGACGAGATACTACGCGGTCTCTTTTAAAGAGATCCACGCGTGCCGGCCCACAATACGCCAAACCTCCAGTTCATTATTAAAAGAGAGTGTGTGTGCGTGTGCGTAGGTAGTTTCTTTTTTTTTCTACCTATGCTTATAACCTTGGGAGGCTATTTGAGCTTCACCCTAATGTGTGGGTGAGCTCACGGGGCTCAAACCGGGAGTGTTGCTAACACTGTCCCTAGCAAGAGCAGTGCTTCGCAGAATCTACCACTGGATTGGAAACGCGACCCACTGAGAAGACCGGCGAGAAACTCAGTTGGCTATGTATATGGGTCAATTTACTCGGCGAGTCCTTCGTCTCAAGCGACGGGTTCGACGAGAACGGTGACCGGATGTCTGTAGTGCGTTGAGTTTTCGTTACCTTTCTCTTGTAGAAAACTGAAACACTATTGTCAAACGTCAATAGCAATGTCTATAGGTTTTACAAATGGCTAGGCAGTACTTAATTCAGCTAAATAGAATAAAAAAAACATTGTTTTAAGTCACGTTTTATCAATTTTGGTGATTTATCATTTAAGTTGGCATCGTCACTTTTCAAAATTAATTAGAAAATTAAAGAAAACGTAAAAAAAAATCATCATTTTATTTTAAACAATGTTTTAAGTACACAAAAACACAATATGCTAGTTATAAAAATATTATTAGTTACAGCTATGTAATGTTTACTTAACACTAAATCGTAAATGTAGATTATGATTACATTGTAAAAATAAACTTTCACTGATTTTTTTTTTTTTAATTCGTTATGCACTGCTTATGACTACAGTATAATGACTAGACAAACTAAAAATGCTAACATTGAGGATAGCATATATTTGCATTATCATAAAATACACATACGTTTTTTTATTAACTATGATATATATTTATGGTATTAAAAAATAGTCTGAACATATACAAAGAATACAGGTTGTCAACCAAGATTGATGTTGTTGAAATAAGTTGCGTAATTGACTATGAAAAATCTAGAAAAAATATCTGGGATATATGAATTTGTCATTCGGAACTGTTTTTTAACGTAAAATGTGACACAAGTTTTTTCTTTAAATTAATTTTATCATAAAAAATTAAAAAGGGAATAGGTTAATTTTTAGTAAAGCGCATTATCAAGAAACTATAAATTATTTATAAGACATGATGCTAAAATAAATAAAAAAAACACAACAGATAGTAAAATAACCACAGAAATTACAAAAATTTTAAAATAATTTAAATTATAGACAATTTTTTTCGACATGGTCGATCCATCAAAAGTGTCGTAAAAAGATTGATGCACTTTAGATGTGGTGCTGGAGACGCTTGCTGAGGATAAAATGGACTGCTCACCGTACCAATGTTTCCATCCTAAAAGAGCTCCAAATCAAACAAAGGCTTTTATCGGTTGTGCAATTGCGAATCTTTAATATGTTTGAATAAATCATCCGTAACGAAAGCTCATTGGAACGATTAATGTTTCAAGGAAGAGTAGACGGTCAACGCTCTCGCGGCCGATCACCCACAAGATGGATAGACTTTATTAAGCTATCTACAAAGTGTTCCCTTATTGAATGAACACGCACCGCCACAAATAGAGAGAATGGAGAAGCCTTATAAAAGCCGAAACCAAGAAATAAAGACAGCCGTAAACACGCCATTACGGATCCTCGCGATCCATTAACGGTGATTTTAGGTACCTCAAACACCGGTCACCGTCCTGGCCAAACGCGTCGCTTGCGACGAAGGGCTCGACGAGTAAATTAACCCATATACACAGCCCACTGAGTTTCTCGCCGGATCTCAGTGGGTCGCGTTTCCGATCCGGTGGTCGATTCTGCGAAGCACTGCTCTTGCTAGGGTCAGTGTTAGCAACACTCCAGTTTGAACCCCGTGAACTCACATACACATCAAGAAGCTGAAATAGCCTCTCAAGGCTATCAGCATAGGCAGGAAAAAAAAAAGACAATACTTAACCACAAGCACTCGCCAGGAGTGTACGACTGAGAAGAAGACATTTTTTTTCAATCTCTAATTTTTAAATTGTGTATTATTTAGTAAATAAAATTAATTTTTTTTTTAAATATACCACATATTGGGACTTCGAGCTCCTGTCAAAGATGAGTGATGACACTCACTAAGTATATCTATGGGCTCCGGTAACCAATTAACAACAGTTGGGCCAACCGCTCTACTACCTATGAATGCAATAAAAATAAAATCAAGTGGATGCCAAGTGATATTTTTTGAATAAAATTAAATTTTCTAAGTGTGTGGTTTCTGAAAACATGTCATCGAATTGAATTTAGACTATATGTGTTTAATAAGTTATGGAATCTTTCTGAAGGACCGACCATAGAGCTAAAAGTGTAGGAGCGTTCATACAAGTTGCTTTGTAATAATAGAAAAGTGACGTCACAATGTTGCCATCATTTAATGGGTAAGAATGAAGAATCGCGAAAAAATTATATGTACTATGTTTGAGATCGAACATAAAAGTTAAAACTGAATTAAAAATGTATTAAAAATGTCTGTCCTCCATAATTAATTCAATCAACAAAATTCGTTCTATTAGAATTCGTCGTATTTTTTCAGTTATATTTATTACCTAGTAAGGCAGACCTGGCAGTTACTCGTAAAGACAGATAATTCGAGTGTACAGATATGCCTATAAAAATACTTAAAAAATCTTACAATTTTATTAAGAACTGGAAACAAAATACAAAATTTACAAACACTAAATTCTTTGCAAAAACACTAAAGTGACAAGGTATTGAAATCAAAATTCTTTGGTACAAAATTTTCATGTAGAACTTCTCAATTAAAACTCACAAATAACCTTTAGAGTTATTTGATTTCTTTTAAAACCCCTAAAACTGTTTTCCGTAATTTCAAGGCGGAGCTGCGGCTATGTTATTGGGGATAATTTCTGATACTTCATCAGATGAGTCCGTTTCGCTTTCCTTTGCTGTGGACTCCTCAGGCTCATCCCTCATCAGAGCTCTATACTTCTTCGCTATAATCTCCCAGTCTACTACGTTTTCTATCCTCGTTGCGTTGTTGAAACTGAGCTGCGAACCTAGAGGACTTAAGTGGACTACTGATAGTCTCGTCGAGTCTGAAAAATGTGATTAACATTGAATTTTTATAGGTTTTCTCTGTGCTTAGATTAATTTCAGCATGAATTCTAGCGTTTTACGATTTGTTAAAGATACAAAAAATTGGATTAATAGGTTGTAGTTGAATTTGAAAAAGCGAAACGGGAATGCATATTTATTTTGCCAATTTCCAATAGAATGCAATTCAAACAAAATAGAAAAACTTAGATATCAATTTGGGCTTTACATTTTTTATTTACATCCATTGTCTCTAAATAATCTCAGGATAATGGCGAAAAATTGTGATAATTATGTTTTGTAAAATGACTTTACTTGGAAATAAATAAAATACAAGAGTTACCTTTCGGCACAACTTGTCCTCTCTTGACTTTGGATAGCCACTTAGCACCTGCTTTCGATCTCGCACTCAACTGATCTTGCCTCTGCAAGCCAATCATGTGTACTAAGCTTGGCCGCTTCTTTTTGGTAAGCCGTTCCTGAGCCAGATAAATTTTGCTTAAATAATTGTTCCTTATTTTTACTGCTCACAGTGATCATAAATATAAATATAATAAAAATAATATAATAAGAACTTGCTTCTTAGCATAATTAAAAAAATAACCTCTATTAAACAGAAGTAGGTATGATTTTCGAATTGTAAATTGCTTTGAATTCTGTTTATTTTATTTCGCTTATTTTGCTTGGTTTTAATTCGCCTTAATGTACGAGTATCTGTAAAAGTTTATTTTTCCCGCAGAGCGCAATAGAGACGGGTGATAGAAAATAGTACCTATTACGTCATCTTCGTGGAGCATTAGGTGAACTATCCTCTCCCTTGCTTTTGTTTATTCTCTCTATATTTTATGAGTAGTTTTGAGGTATGCCATAATGTTCAATCGTTCGCTACTCTCATCTACCTCTGCCCCGCGATCTAGACTATGTCATCGGTCCGTGGATATAGGACTTCCTCTAAGACCTAATCTTGGCCACCGTTCCCTCTCTGTCCTACTTTTTTTTTTATTGCTCGACGAGCATTCGGCCCACTTGATGGTAAGTGATTACCGTCGCTCATGGACGTCAACAATGCCAAGGGCAGAGCCTACCGCTTGATACTCTCCACAAGCCTCGTTTGAAGAATCACTCCATCTATTCTCATTTCGCCTTGCTAAGTCTCAATAATGTTCATTGTTTTTGTTGAAAAAGACGGAATTTTTTTTAAAATGTTTTCATATTACCGTAACATTTTGTAACTTTAGGCACTTACTCGACATCTGGCAATCAACCACATAAGCCACGTCGTGACCAAGTTGAGGGGCGACGGAGCCGTATTCGTTCTGTGCATATTTCTTATCAACTTTGACAAGCCATACTTCCATTCGATGTCGGATTGCGCCTGAAATTTTTTAGAAAAATTTACACCATGTTCATAAATTCCGTCGCCCGATTACGCATTAGATTTTAGATATGTAATACTGTCGGAATATGTGAATATGGAAATAAAATAATAATAATTAGTAATTAAAATGAAATAGAGATTTCTCAATGACATGTCCCTCTTCGGTCGATTCGTGAATACCTGGTTATTTAATGGCAGTTCAGTTTGACTACAGCCTTAAGTAATCACTTCGGATGATAATAGACCGTAAGCTTATTTGTCTTTGAGAGCAGCAAAGAAATCTTTTTTTTTTATTGCCCTTGTAGGCAGACAAGTATACGGCCCACCTGATGGTGAATGGTTACCGTTGCCCATGGACTTCAACAATGCCAGGGGCAGAGCCAAGCCACTGCCTACCTTCTTACCGCTGCCTACCAACAATCATGACTTCTTTTTTTTCTACCTAACCTGATAGCCTTGAGAAGCTATATCAGGGTTACTCTAGCGTGTAGGTGAGCTCTCGGGGCTAAAACCGGAGGTGTTGCTAACGCTGGCCCTAGCAAGAGCAGTGCTTCGCAGAATCTACCACCGGGTCAGAAACGCGACCCACTGAGAGCATCCAGCGAGAAACTCAGCGGGCTGATCATGACATGTTTTAACCTGTATCTTCGGTAACAGCTTACCCGTATACGGCAAAATAAAACGCATTATTGTTTTAAACGAGTGAATATTCATTGAATCATGTAAAAAGTGTGTTTTTACTTCGAAACAGGTTAATAACAATGCCATTAGTATCGAATATAAGCGGATCGTTGCATAACAAATTTCTGAAATTCTGTTCGTTCTTGTATTAAAATAAAATTTGCATATATGTATACACTTTTCTAAATGTACCAAACACTTAGTGATACCGATGTTTTGTGTGCAAACTTGAATTAATTATTAGCGATAACCTATTTTAGTTTAATAGCTGCAATGGAAATATTATCTCAATAAGTTTCCTAACCTCGATTGTTTTTATTGCACTAATGAAGATCTTACGACTAAGACCTCTCACAAAGTGATTACCGAAGCCTACTTACATACACTGGTGTTTTTTTTCTCTACCTGTTCTAGTAACCTCGAGGAGTTATTTTAGATTCGCCGAATTAGTAGGTGAGCTCACGGGGCTCAAACCTGATGACGTTGCTAACACGAACCCTAGTTAGAGCCGTGCTTCGCAGAATCTATCACCGGATCGGAAATGCGAGTCACTGAGAAGATCTGGCCAGAAACTCAGTGGGCTAACATAACTGGTGGCAGGTTTTCTTGTGAGCCCTATTTCTACCATGAAGCAGTAATGCGTATCGGTTTGAAGGGTTGGGCCAGTCCTTGTACTGAAAACTGAGACTTAGAATTCATGTCTCAAGATGGGTGGTGGCATTTACGTTGTTGATGTCTATGGGCTCCAGTGACCACTTAACACCAGGTGGATCAGTTGGCCAGGTGGTAAGCTTGTCCACCCATCATAGCAATTTTTTTAGTTAAAGTCTCAATTGTATTGGGAAACCCGTGAAATAACTAGCAAATCCCCCCTTTGGAGCCAAGCAATGTGTCTACTTCGCAGTAGAAATATGTATAGTACACCGTGGTTACGTTCAATTTCTTTTATTCCTACATGAAATACTTCCTAAATACGTATTCAGTTTAAAAATTGCACCTACCGCTAAATTGTAAGCATTTGCTTTTCATCCTAGGTAGAGAGCTCACTACAAATATTTTGCACATTGTCTTCAATGTGCAAAAGAGATATCCTTCATAGCTTTGAACTTTGTCAGCTGCTTTAGTATTTACGATTTTCTTACTCGATTTTCTTACTAAATATTTTGATTTTAAAAAATACGACATCAGTCAGCCATCTATTTGGCTTAGCCATTAATTATAAGCCCAAATAAATTCACTAGTGAAAAAGTTTGAGAAGAACACGCTCTGGTCAAAATACGTCGCGTTACCTGTATCCGCTGGTAGGTGTCTGACATCATAGCGATCAGTAGGTTGATGAGAACCACTACTGACACCAGCATATAGATCCCGAAGACTATCTTGAATAAGTAATTCGTCCAAGCGGGCTGGATGTTACTATCCTTACTATGAACCTTTGTTTGTTCTGTAGTTGTCTGCCCGAAAACCGCAAAGAAGAGTAGCTCGAACGAAAACAGCGGATTCATTGTGACTGTGAACAAAATATGAGTTCTAGGGACACTTAGTTACCTGTATGCGTTGATAAGTGTCCGACATCATCGCAATGAGGAGCGTTATAAGGACGACGACCGACATCAGCAAGTAGGCACCGAACACGAACTTGAACAGGTTGGAGGTCCAACTGGGCCGCAAGTTCGATATGTAGTTGAGGTCCGACAACGTGATCTGGCCGAAAAGGGCGAAGAACAATTTCTCGAACGCCTCGATCGGTGTCAACGTCGCTAGAAGACAACATTCAAATGGACCAAATAACAACTAATCATTTGGGCTAAAATGACGCATTTTCACTTATTTTTATTACGTAAGTTTACTAGATTTGTAATCTAAATGCATTATTTTAACCATTTTAATCTTCCTTTTATCTAAAAGTCTAACACAACGACTAATTTCACACTCAGGTGTTCATAGGGCACATTGATCCAGATGTCAATAAAATGATTGATGTGTTTCCAATCAATATTAAATCCAATATACCAGACTGGTCAATAAACCCTTTGTTTTCTACAGCAGCCGTGAAGAGCGACACAAGAGGCGAGGCGAGGTTCACACCACAACGACGACAAACAGCCAAAAACATCCGAAACATAAAATAGTACCTCGGGACAACGGTGTAACAAACGCGGCACAAGCAGCCGGCATGCACAAATCAAACTTGCTCCATCAAATGCGGTGAGAGGTCGGCCACTCATTCCACTAAAACTATTATCGTGAATGCACATTCTATGTTCACATCTGTAAACGACGGTTTTTTGTAAAGCTATGACGATGCATTGTGTACACATTAAATCTAACCGTAATGTCTCAGATGAACCGAAATTGAGGACACGTGAAAAGCCCTCAGTTTCGGCACAATGAGGTGTATTTCTGTACAGTACTGGACCTATTCTGTCCACGTGTTACAACCACATAAACTATAAATATTTAATAATAAAACGATCATGACATTGTCGATTTGGAAACATTCAAGGCTGCAAGCGGATGCATTGGACTTTGAAAATAAAAATAACAAGCACATCGAGACATAAATCATCGTAGCTGATGGTGATGACGGGTTGCACACAAATCAATATCTTGCTCCCTATGAGAACTTACGCCCAGCAGGGCCTTGCTTTCTTCTGTATGATTCCCCGGACAGTGGTTTGATCCATTGCGGAACAAATGCTTGTCGTTTATTTCGCTGATTTTCTATTTTATGAGAAGAAGAAAGTAATTTGTCAAAGGTTTTTATTTAATTTTTGTTTTTAATGTGAATGTTATGGTGGTGAGTATTATGATGTTTGAACAAAGTAAACGAACAGACTCACCGTCTGAGAAAAGTTTTCTTCTGGCTTGGCTTGCATACTTATTGTCTTCGCTTTTATTAATATTTCTGAATGGTTGATTCAATGCTACTATATGCATCGAGAATCCAAATACAAAAATCGCTAAAACTGCTAAAAATCTTCCCAAATCTTTCATGAGATCTCCTATAATTATCGCCCATGGACCGAACAGATGATGGAAGGATAAGAAGTCCAAAATTTGGACACAAGCTAATAGAAAAGATAGAGCAAAGCACTGATTCCTACAATACATTAAAGTTGGCCAATATTTAGGTTGGATGAATATCCAGCCCACCACGTGCGTCGCCACCCCGATCATACCTAGTAACAAAACTGCTATTTTAATCCACCCTAACCCTGACTTATCACTAGGATTCGTTAATTCTAATAATAAAAGACCACTCAACGATATGAGTAGCATCCACTCATACCATCGCGGTATTAAACTATCCCTAAATATCGAATTATAAATAGGTGTGATTGCTACCAATGCTAATAATACCATCAAATATATGTGCGCTGTTAAATACGACATGAACTTAATTATTGGAATCTTATGATATCTATGACCTAAGGGAAGAGAGAACACCATCCAAACTGGTGGACAGACTATAAATGCGAAAAAAAGGAACATAATTTTGATGCCGGTCCATTTGAGACTCCCTCTCCAGAGTTCCTGTAAAAGAACGAGCAAAAATATAATTCGCGGTATGTTTGCATTACGAAACTTTGGTGTAGTAGAGAAGTTACCTATTTTTTACCTGAAGATATCTCTGGACAACTGTGTGGGCAATTACTTCTTTTTGTTCGTTTTCTATTAGAACATCCAAGAATTCAATGTTTCGGTTATCCGTGGCAGTGAGTATATGTCCGGCAGAGTCGGCCCCCGCCGCTAGAGCCAGCAGTTCGGTCGCCATCGCCTCACATTGTTTCCCTGCCGCTATAAGGTCTTTGGCACGCTCCTTTTCCTGTTAAACAATACGACGCGTAGTGAATACAAATCTAATGTCATTAAAATAAATTACTTAATCATCGCTTACCTTAGTCGATAAATTGATGTAAATATTCGATAACTTGGCAGCCGTGTCGACCGGCGCCGGTGATACCAAAACGAATTCCTCTATAGGAATGTTATTGTGGTTCTTAGAGCAAACCATGAGGTTGTAGACAAACCTCTTGTCGTCCATCAGTGACTGAGTATCGTGTTCTTTGTGGAGTAAATATTCAAGAACGTCGTTGTGGTTTTCCGAAGCGGCGAACCATATAGGGGCGCAATTTAGATTGGTCTCACTTTTTGGAGATGCTCCGGATTCACAAAGTAGTTTCACGACGTTCAAGTGACCAGCTTTTGCTGCACAGTGCAATGGCGTCCATCCGTTTTTATCGGTAGCGTTTATTTCTGCTCCTTGACCCAACAAGACCTCAACCATTTGATAATGTCCGTGTGTTGATGCAATGTGTAAACCAGTTTTTCCGTGCCTGTCAGTACTGTGTAGTAGTTCTGCTGATCTACTTAGTAGAAGTCCTACTATGGACATATGGCCTCCGAAACATGCTAGATGTAATGGATTATAGCCCTGTAAAATAATAAATGCCAATGAAAAAGAATGCTTATGAAAAAGAAAGTTATAAATGGTAATTTTCGTGCAATAATGGGAATGTACTACTATGTATTCGATTTTTCTGGTAGTACGGTAGTAAGGTATACTTTTACTTACATTTTCGTTACTAGCTGCATCCGCTTGGACACCGGCAGAGTTGAGGAGTAACCGGACCACGTTCTCGTTACCGTTATATGCAGCCAAATGGAGAGGTGTCAAACCAGATTCAGCTCCTAATACTGGGACCAATGAGACTCCCGTAGGAGCCTCAGATTTCACAGTACCGGGTACGTGAGATAGAAGTTCTCTTACAGTTTCTGAAAGTATAGATACGCCATCACACAATCATTGTATAATTTATTTTATTAAATTTTCGTAATAAAAATATTGGTTGAATTTACCAGCTTGTCCATAATATGCTGCAATATGTAATGGAGTCAATCCCAACTTTTTGCTAGATATCCTTAAAGTATTCGTTGATCTCATAACATCCAATACATTAGTGTGTCCATGCTCTGCTGCCAAGTGTACAGCAGTGAGGCCGGCTCTGTTCTCATCAGTACACGATGCTCCGGCTCTCACAAGAACCCTTACAACATCTGCATGACCACCTTCCGCTGCTAGTTGCAAAGGCGTTGAATCATTCAGTTTATTTCGAGCTGAAATAACTCCAGTCCTATCGAACTTCATTAATTCCTCGATCACTTTAACAGAGCCTTGTATGGCTGCAATATGAGCGCACGTGTTTCCATCTTTAGTTGTTGCCATTACCAAGTTGGGGTGCTGTTGTAAAAACAATTGAACGACTTCTGAATAGTTATTTTGTGCAGCTGCGTGTATCGGTTTTTGTCCGAGCTCATCGGTCGCATCAATATTCGCACCAAGTTCTAATAGAAGCTTACATACTTCTATCTGACCACTAGCAGCTGCCAAATGTAGTGGAGTTTGCTTTTTCAAGGTTAGAACGTCTATCATAGCGTTGTGGTCTCTAATAAGAAACTTGACTAGATGTGCGTATCCGTTCATTGCTGCCAAATGAAGAGCCGTTCTGCCGTTTCGTGCTTTTGAATTTATGAAAGCTTTATTTGTTAGTAGTGCGTCACATACTTGTAGGTATCCGTGCTCAGCTGCCAAATGCAAGGCGGATCTGCCTTCGACGTCGAATACGTCAACTCTAGCGTGGTTTGTTAATAATGTATTTACGAGTTGCATATGTCCTCTGTGACAGGCTATTAGAAGAGGCGTCCATCCTATTGAATTTTGTCTGTTGAGCGCTCTGCTGACGTCCGCAGTTGAGATATGCGCGATCATTTCAGTCATGACGTCATTATTACCAGCAATAGCGCAATAATGAAAAGCCGTTTCGTGGTTATGCCTTGTTTGCAGAGACACATCTGCGCCGTTTTCTATTAAGCATTTGACAACCTGTCTATCTGCTGTAGGTATTTTAACTTCTTCTTTGGTAACTTTACAAGCGTAATGCAATGCGCTGGCTCCATCCTCGTCTACTGCGTCTATAAATGCCGTAGACACGCTTTCTCCTTTGTGGTCTTTTACGAATTCTATTAAGTGTCGCACAATATCTGGCATGCAGCTTCGACAGGCCATTTGTAAAGGCGTTTCTCCTGTCTGAAACCGATATTTTGTTTTTTAAAGTACACATAACATGAAGATTTCTCGTAAATTTCAATTTCTTCTGGAAACATTTCATCTAAGTGTAAAATACACAATATTACTACAACGTCATAAATACAAACTTTAGTTTTCCGCAAAGGGTCTCCACCGTCTTCCAGTAGTAAGACCAGCGTTGCCAGATTTCCAAATTTGGCGGCGACATGTACAGGCGTCATGCCATCTTCTGTCGCCTTGTTTGGGCCTGCCCCGGACTTTAGCAACATCAGCGCGCATTTGTCTCCTGTAATCATTAAAATAATTTAGTAACTCGTGCTTATTTCACTCTCTAACTAGATGATCACCGGTTTTTTTTTATAACGCCATCTTGTTGTGTCTTTAAAGCGTTTAGTTGCCCTCAATTAACAAAAATAGTATTATTATTCGCCAATATATGTCGGGAAGGGTTGATTATTGAAAACACGAATAAAACAACATTTTCTGAAAATAAATCGTAGCTAGATCGATTTATCGCCCTCGAAATCCCCTGTATACTAAATTTTATGAAAATCGTTGCAAATTTTATGAAAATCGTACAAGAATTGCTCGTTAAAAGGTATAAGAGAGAGGTGAATGTTTCATGTTACTGGTGGTAGGACATCTTTTGAGTTCGCACGGGTAGGTACCACCGCCCTGTCTATTTCTACCGTGAAGTAGTAATGCGTTTCGGTTTCGAGGCTACGGCAGCCGCTGTACTGTTAAAACTGAGACCTAAGAACTCATGTTTCGAGGTGGGTGGCGGCGTTTACGTTGTAGATGTCTATGGGCTCCGGTAACAACTTAACACCAGGTGGGCCGTAAGCTCGTCTAACCATCTAAACAATAAAAGAACAATAAAAAAACTAGATGAATTCCGCGCATTTTATAAAATCCGTAATTATTGACGACCGCCTTTTGTTAGTGTGCCCAAACTAAGACCTGGGTTATATTTATAAATTGCTTTCCGGTTTTCAGTATTATTCCAGTACAATAGGAATGTTACACCTTTATTAACTTTACAACAGACATTACTTAAACTTGAGCAACATAGCCAATATATTCACCAATTAACAGAAAAAACAACACACAACACCAACAAATATTGCCCCGCATTCAACATTCCAAGCTAGGTTTTTTTTTTTTTTGTTACAATTACTATAATTTATTTACACAATTCTGTACGTAACTACATAAATAATTAAGCTTCTGTAAAAATAGCATCAAATGTAGCGATAATACAACGTAGTGAATTTAATGGTTACTGGAGCCCATAGACGTGACATAGACAACATGAACGGCGTCACAAGCGACATGAGGTCGATGTCTCAAATTAGTATAACGACGGTCCCACCCTTGTAAACAGAATGCTCTTATGCGGAAAATAAGCAGGGTTGTGTGCAAAGTACATATATGCTTGTGAGATGATTTTACCATCAGGTATCCTAGCAGCTATGTGGAGAGGAGTTTCTCTTTGTTTTCCACCTCGAATATGAACGTCTGCGCCGTACCCTAAAAGAGTTTCTACCACTGCCGGCTTACACGACTCAACTGCAATATGGAGAGCTGTGTAGTTGTCCTGGTAAACAAGGAAAAGATAGCAGTTTTAATGCATAGGGCTATCGCACAATCGCTTAGTTGAAAAAGGTAGGAAATGTAATAAAACATAAGACTCTTTTTCGAACTTTACTCCAAATTATTTCATTTATAGCAGAAAAATAGTATATTATATATGCAATAGAATCAAACGTAAGCGCAAACAAAAAAATGGACATATTCACAGGCACTTATATCTACATCAAAATGTATCTATACTATTTGAATGTAATTATATTGTAAATGTAACTATACTATTTGATTGCCACAAAATTGTCTATTGAATTATGTAAAAAAATTCGGCATGGATAGCAATGATAGTATACGGGAATAATTAGCATAGTGGTAAAAATACTAGTTAGTTTAGAGTAATTAATTTCACTATGGTAGCGCTTATTTTAATTGTAGACGTTTTATTAATTGTTTTAGCGCTATCTGAGAAGAATAACTCAAGATAGCTCTTCGTAATTATAGTAATATATTCGTACCTGACAATAGTCGACAGTACTATTGAACACTTAAGTTTTTTTTTTTTTTTTATTGCCTTTCTAGGCAGACGAGCATACGGCCCACCTGATGGTGAGTGGTTACCGTCGCCCATGGACTTCAGCAATGCCAGGGGCAGAGCCAAGCCGCTGCCTACCGCTTAATACTCTCCACAAGCCTCGTTTGAAGAAGGACATGTCATAGCACTCGGGAAACACCGCGCAAACAGTTGCGCATCGAAACTAACCCGCACTTTGAATAGTGTGTTTTATTACGTCTTTTTTTAAATTTTAAAATTGAATAGGTAGTTGGAGTTTGTTGAAACTATGATTGTATGCTTGTTAGCTAATATTACTATTATAAAACGGTTTAATGTATTGAAATATTCAATATTATATTTACAGTTTTGTTAAGAGTAATATCATAATTAATAGCTATTATATTTTTATAATAAGAATCTGATAGTTTTTTTGTTCTTATAATAGGGGTTAAATTATGAAATTGCCGTTTTATTGTAATAGGTACTTCGAATTGACATAGAACCTTCATGGTTTGAGATTTTTGAGTGAAACTTTTTTCAAAGGGTACCTACCTATGAGGTTATTCTTTTAAAAAATGTGCAACATTCGATTATCGACTTTCAGCGTTTTTTTTTATACAGCTTAGAAAAGAAAGATGGACTTCGAAAATTCGAGTGATTTTTGAATACGAGTTCTGAGGCGGAACTAACGCTGCGGAAACAGCTCGCAATATCAATGTTACGTTTGGAGAGGGGACTGCTAATGAATGTGATTTTGGTTTAACCGCTTTCGTGATGGAAATTTTGATTTGTAGAACGAACCACGTCGAAGACCGTCCACACATGTGAATAACAATGAATTGAAAGAGATAGCGTAAGCCGATCCCAGTCAAACTACCCAGGAATTAGTGTCATGGCTTAACGTTACCTTACCAACAATATTGACTCATTTGCGTCAAATCAACAAAATTTTTTTATGAAAAATGGGTGCCTCATGATTTGCCTGATCTGCAGAAAGAAATGCCTGTTGAAACTTGTGTTGCCTTCTTGAACCGATACAGAAATGAATGATGATTGATTGAATTGTAATTTGTTGTACTGCTTCTCGGGTATTGAATGTATTAATTACCCTTCAAGAAGCTGTTAAAAAAATTTGTCTGCCGGCTCATTGTTTGGTGAGTATGGTGGACGACGCAATATTTCCTTGTAACTTAGAGACCGTCTGTTGTGTCGTATGAGATCGAGCATGTCGTGTAGGAGTAGCAGCGACAAGCGATTAACTAAGACTGGACGGAGATTAGCGAGCTTCTCCATAATTGTGTCCAGCTCCTCACAGTATCACACACATCCGCAGTAATGCGTAAGTGCCGTTTGGTAAGAAGCTAAGATTTTTTTATGGGTAATCATTTGAAACATTGCCTAGATGCTGAACCGTGGTATAAAAAGCATGATGATCGCTTATAACTATCAAAAAGAAACCATTTTTCGTCGCAGGTGACATTCACTGATCAAGTTTTTTTTATCTTGCCAATTTAACGCAAATGGACCAATGTTGTTTTGATGCTAACGTTGAAAGTTGCTGATAGCTCAGCGGTAGACTGTATTTCGTCAGCTTCGTCAGCTGCCTTTAATTCGTCGTTGATGTCTTTAGTTTTCGGGCGACTACGGGGTTTATTTTTTAGATCACAATTTCTTTTTTTTATGATCGAGGGATTACTTGTGGCCCGGAGGCCTTTCCAGTTTCACAAGGACAGGTGGGCGAGCAAGGGCTCAGCCAGGAGGGGTAGGATTTGCTAACAGCTACCCGAGCACCTCCAAGGGTCACAATTTCTATTACAGAAGCGTTCAAACCAATGTTGTATTCGCTTCGTCCTCCTCATTAATGTTGTGAGTCGTTTGTGCGGCTTTTCTACTTAGACGAACGAATAATTATTCATATTTTTATTGCGTCAATATTGATAAAAAAGAAAAAAATGTATTGAAAACAAAACACTAATCAATACTTACTTAAATTAATGAATAATGAAAATGGAATTCTATATTTTTTTAATAAAATTCATTTGAATTTAGAATTTATTTTCCAGCCATACATAAATTACGTTTTAAGTGGCCAGTATTGCAAAACGGCAACATCATAGGTAAAGATCTATTAAATAAATGCTAATTAAGATAATTCTTGAAAAGGTTTGACCTGCATATTTCAAGATGCCCTTGTAATACCCAGGTGCGTACCTTTACGCTATCGAGAACGTTAAAAAACTCGCACTAAGCACACTGATGTCATACGGAAGAGTGGTTTAGTTAAGAAACAACAACTAGCTTACATTGGTCGTGACGTCAACACTTTCCCCTTTCTGCAACAACGTATTGATGATCCCGACATGGCCATAACGAGCCGCTGTGTGGATACTCCGCGCTCCATCCTGCAATTAGAAAAAGTACATCATATACAGGGTATTATTGGTGGTAGGACATCTTGTGAGTCCGCACGGGTAGGTACAACCGCCTTGCCTATTTCTGCCGTGAAGCAGTAATGCGTTTCGGTTTGAAGGGCGGGGCAGCTGTTGTAGCTATAATTGAAACCTTAGAATTTATATCTCAAGGTGGGCATCGCATTTGTGTTGTAGATGTCTATGGGCTCCAGTAACCACTTAACAACAGGTGGGCTGTGAGCTTGTCCACCCATGTAAGCAATAAAAAAATACAAGGTAGCTACAGAGATGCGAGATAATGGCGGGCCAATATTCGGATGAAAACATCGAAATGGTATAAAATCATCATCAGGTGGGCCGTGTGTCCGACTGTCTTCTTCTTCTTCTTCCTATTCGTACACTCTTGACAGAGTGGTCGTGGTCATGCGTCAGTCGGATACGACCTGCTCATGACTCTCGTGGGAAATTAGTGCAGTGGTTTCCCGTTGCCTTCTGCAATACTTCTGTCTTCAAGGTCAATAAAAAAAACTGGATTATTTTCTTGTAACTCTGCCAAAATTTACCGTCAATACAACTTAGCTTTGTCTTTCGTAACATACATGCTGTATAAATGAATTAAAAATGAAAGACCTCGGTTACGGCATTGAACGATTCAACCTCATGTTTATTTTATTCGTATTACATTACTGACTTTCAATACTTCATAGTCGTGACGGTTGCCAAGACAAATCGAGTGCATCGCAATAGTGCGGAGGATCTTATAATGAATAAACATAAAAGGCTTTAGCGCTATGTTAATAAATAAATTATTGTTTATTATTATATATTATTAAATTGTTCGGCCACATCGCGCGTAGTGGCCCCGATAACTTAGAGAAGCTGATGGTAGTTGGTCAGGTTGACGGGAGAAGATCACGCGGACGCTCACCTACCCGCTGATCTGGTAAAAACGCTCACCGGCCTGCCAATAACCGAGGCTATAAAGACCGCCGAAGACAGGAAGACGTGGGGAAGCACTGTGCATCGAGTGGTCCACATTTCGAATTAGTCACGACCTTCAATGAAGGGACCGACTCAGAAGAAGAATAAATAAATAAATATTTAGTGGAACTGCACATTCAAGGTTAATAACCTCGACGATCATAGAGCAGAAGATCTTTGACTAATGCCAGAATCGCGTCAACGACATATTCAAGATGAGCTTGCATGTATACAAGTAACCAACTATAACATTCGGGCCGTCGGTCTACCAAGCAATTTCACTCGGCCAGTGGAAAATATTCCCTTTGTCGTATACCCACAAATGATTATTATTAAACATTGTAAAAGTCAAAGCGTTTTGCCTGTTTTACTCACTAAGTTTCTTGCCGGATCTTCTTAGGGGGTCGCCATTCCGATCCGGTATTAGAATCAGCGAAGCACTGCTCTTGCTAGAGCTAGTGTTAGCAGTTCTCTCAGGTTGAGCCCGTGAGCTCACCTACCGGTCCGCGCGAAGTTGGAATAGCCCCTTGAGCTACCAACGATTAGATAGTGAAAAAAAATTATTGTCTGTTGGGTGGATACTCAGTTGCAAACACGTAAAAGATGATTTACCAATTACGGTTTAAAGTAATATTCATTTTGCTTCATCAAACGTTTCACTGCAGCTCAATACCCTAAGCTTTACAAATTGCATTGCGGTAGCGATGGTCACATTGAAGATATCGGGTAACAGCTTGAATCGTGCTAACGACATTCTTACGATAGCCTTTCTTATATGGCTCTGTGATGTCTACCCTAGCAATAGCTGATGTTTTTGTAAAAGGCGTTTTTTTTTATACCTATGCTCATACATATCCTTGAGAGGTCATTTCAGCTTTTCCTTGACGTGTAAGTCAGCTCAAGGGGCTCAAACCGGGAGTGTTGCTAACACTGGCCCTGACAAATCGCAGAATCTACCACCGGATCGGAAACGCGACCCACTGAGAAGATCCGGCGAGAAACTCAGTGGGCTGTGTCTATGGGTTAATTTACTCGTCGAGCACTTCGTCGCCAGCGACGGGTTCGGCGAGGACGCTGGCCGTGCTTGAGGTACCTAAAAGCACCGTTAGTGGATCGAGAAGATCTGTAATGACGTGTTTAGGGCTAAAGGGACTAAGGTTCGCAGCAGTGTTCTTTAAGTATCGAATAAACATGCTACGATCGTCATATTACATTTACTTCAGAGTCCGCACGGTTAGGTACCTCCTGCCTTGGAGTCTCGTATAGAGAAGGCCGATGTAGAGTGGTCAACTATTGTCTTCACGACACTGTCGGCAGGGCGTTTTTGGAGAGAGATGCGCGTTTGATGTAGTATTGACCTTGGAATATCCCCCACCTTGTTTGGGCTCTGTCTCGGGCAGGTGGATCTTTAACATCTTCGGCCACTGGGGGAACATTGTAAGAGGTTTGGCACCCGTCCAAAAAAAGGTCCCATGAAGCCATCCTGCATTTTGAGTTGACGGATAAGATGATCTCTTATCGTACACACCTTACCTTACACAATATAAATGAGATTTCTATAGTCTCTTAAAATCAGGAGGGTCATAACTTCGTTAATCCAAATACTTATAAATAACGGTATGGCACTTTCGAGTGAGGTCGAGATTTCTTGAGTTCACAAACTTATCAAAATATTTTGTCGTTTGTACTGGAGTAGATTAACCTATATTTTCCATTAAACCGAAGCGTATAACTACTTTACCGTGAAGGAACAGTAGTACGTGATGAGTGCTATAAATTGTGAGCCCGCATATGTACTATGATACAACAATCTTGACTGCTTTTATCACAAAATAATCACTTTGTCTTGTTTGAAAGGTTTTTCCACTACTGCAATTGTAACTTAGATGTTTCAAGGCAGGGGACATTAATTATAACACATTTTACCTCTCAATACAGAAGAGAAGTAGAATACTCAAATAAAAATTACCCAACATCTGAGGGCTCTATTATATGCCAACTCTAAATTGGTTTTCTGATGAAAAATTCACCACAGTATAACGTAATAGGTGCTTCAAAAACGATTTCAACTGCAATAAAACGTTATTGAAACAAACAAAAAAACAAAATGCGTTTTATTTCATATACCTAATACATTATTATTACCCGCACACTATTATTTTAAGTAAATGAATATGATGAATGTACAATTTCAAGCTGAATCATTTTTCGACCGAAATCCTTTTACGAAGTATTTGTATTTTTCAAAGAATGTATCCCAAAAAATCATTCTATCTTCGAAAAATCCAGATTTCAACTCCATTGCTGTATCTATATTTAAAGTGTAAAAGGAGTCTTTCGATATTGGTTTCCATATAATTGGCAGTAGTTCTGTTGGGACAGGTGTAGGGTTTCTGAAAAATGTGTATTTTCGGACGTTAATATTGTGGAATGAGACCGAAGATTATAAATTTATTTGAGTTCCATGTCTCCAATACATTTACGTCAGGTACATCCCTTTAGTTTTTACATGTTTCATGTATTTTATAACTGTCTTAACAAGTTTTCTCCCATGGAAAAAATTAAAAGTGCTACATTTATAAATTTTATAACTCAAACCCAAGCATCCAAAATAAAATATGCATTCGTAGAGCATTGGAATTCTTTGGAGACATTTCTCGGAGGGTCAGGGAGGATCGCAATCTTGAGCAGCTGATAGTGACTTGCTAGATAGACCAAACTCCACGAGGCCCAGGATCATAGCAGATGTAGAACAATTGTACACCGGAGATTGACGCAACGGGGGAGTTACGACTCTCAGTATTGAGGAGAACAACAAAAGGTGAAGGATAACTTAAAAGAGGTTTGTTAGAGAAGAGAAGCTTGCTATTATTTGTGCAATATTATGATTAACTCGAATAAAAGCCACCAAATATACCTGTAATTTAAAAAGAAAACATACCCTGATTTAACAAAGTTTGCCCAAAGTGTGGTAATTCTATCAACAATTAACATGTCTTCAATGGTAAGGGTCTTATCCATAAATGATATGTCAAATAGATATCCAATTTCGTCTGCATGAAACGCTCCACTACCATTTAAATTAAAGGTTTTTTTCAAAAAATTCCTATTCCCGTCATACGAAAATAAGTAATTGTATACTTTTTTTGCACCATTGTCAATATATTTCATAACATTTCTTTTTGTTGGATGGTAGTAATAAAAATCCGAGGAGAATTGTACAATGGTATTCTCTACCTCATCAATATTTTTTTCATTTCCGATGTATTGTTTCTTCACAATTTCTTTTGTATTCAATAAATGTTCGTCATCAAAATTGAAAGCTATTTGTAAATGATCCTGAAATATGTCAAAGTTTAGGTTCTTCTTCCCATAATAGTTGTGCGCTCGTTCATTGTTAGTGTTTCCAATTAAAATAGACATGCCTTCAACTATCGGAGTATTTAAATTTATCGGATAATCAGTTAAAAAATTTTGGGCTCCGCTAAAATAATTTTCATTGCAGCAATAAAATTTTACATTCAATTCGACAGCAGCATTAATAACGTCCTTATAATTTTCCTTCGATAAGAAATCTATAGCTAAATCCAATTGTGCTGTTTTAAATCCTAGTCTTTTTGCTAGTTCAAAGGGCACACTATTATTAGGTTTCGCCATTATTTCAGGAAAATATGAGGTCCCGCTTTGTATTATAACCTTGTCAAATAGTTTTTCATTTATATGCAGCGAATGGAGCAGCAAATCAACGCCCGAAGCGCCGTAGCTATGCCCCGAAACTGTTATTCTATCTTTATCGCCGCCAAAAACTCCTATATTTTCTCTAACCCAGACTATTGCCTTTTTTTGATCTTTTAAACCTTGATTATCTATCGCATTCGAAGAATCAGTGCATAGAAACCCGTAAGGGCCGAGCCGATAATTTACTGTCACAAGGATTATTTCGTGTCTGACCAAATATTTTGGTCCATATAGGTAGCGTCCTGCAAAACCGATTTCAAATGTTCCTCCGTAAAAATAAATCAGCACAGGCAAGTCGTTGTTCAAAGATTTCGGCACGTAAATATTTAATCGCAAACATTGCATCTCTCCAACGATAGTATTATTGAATTCTTCTTTTTGTGGACAGGCAGTAGAATCGTCGAACGCTTCGTATATTTCGGTAAATGGTAGTGTTGGCAAAGAATCCTTAAAGAAATGGTTAAATTTTAACAGAAATCATCGTTTAAATTCATGATTCTAATTTCGTGATGACGCACGTACTGAACAATTTTCAGTGTTTCTGAAAGTCACTTAACGTAAAAACACCTATATACCTTATTGACATAGTTCATGTCAGCATGTTCAATGATCAATTGAGCATCTGTTAGCAAATAAAACATTAATAATGTAAATTTAATTGAGACTTACCCCGAACGGATTACTTTCATTGACTAGAGCGTAGGGTATTCCCAGGAACATAGAATAACTTCCATCGTCTGATTTTAGACCTTTGATCAAACCATTTTCTATTTTCACAAACAAAACTTCATCAAATGTTTGTTTTTCAAAATACTTGTAAACTGTAGCAGCTAAGACTATTAGTATTGCTATCTTTCTCATAGTGCTACTAAGTATATTAAAAATGTTGTTTCTCTCGATTTTATTTTACTTTGTGTAACTCATTGATATGTATTAATTCAATTGCTGTTTTTTATTTTATCTTTATAAGAGTCGTTTAAGATGGTAATACATCGGTAAAATTATTCTTCTGTGCTTTTCGTTAGCTGAATCGTAAATTGAGTTAGTGAATAGTTATTTAATTGAATATTTAATTTTTTTTAAATAAAAACGGGTCAATACAGCACCCAGCCACGAAGCGAACATTCAATCCGATTTGAAAAGCGGGACAATCGTTTCACAATACAGTTGAAAGTACGACCTGACCTCTTAAGGTAAATGACTGTAAAAACCCGTCGGTTACCTTACCTTTTTGAAGTCGTCGTGGCCTAAAGGATAAGACGTCCGGTGCATTCGTATGTAGCGATGCACCGGTGTTCGAATCCCGCAGGTGGGTACCAATTTTTCTAATGAAATACTTACTCAACAAATGTTCACGATTGACTTCCACGGAAAATTTACTAGGAAAAAATCTGTTTTTTTTATTATTTTTTTATTGCTTAGGTGGATGGACGAGCTCACAGTCCACCTTGTGTTAAGTGGTTAGTGGAGCCCATAGACATCTACAACGTAAATGCGACACACACCTTGAGATATAAGTTCTAAGATCTCAGTATAGTTACAAAGGCTTCCCCATCCTTCAAGCCGAAACGCATTACTGCTTCACGGCAGAAATAGGCGGGGCGGTGGTACCTACCCGTGCGGACTCACAAAAGGTCCTACCACCAGTAAATTATATTACACAAGTATTATAAAATAAATATAAATAAAAGTATTATATTACACAGGATAAATAATTCGACAAGGACGAACGTAGGAAAAGCGAAGCTATGCACCGCCAATAGACCGGAACACGCAATGCTATAAAAAAAATTAGTTTCGTGCCTAAACCTTATTTCCAGTGCTTATGCGGAGAAGAGCCCTACTGCACTAATTTCTAAAGGAAAATAATAATAGTTTTTTTGTTTAATAATTGGTTTTTTTTATTGCCCTTGTAGGCAGACGAGCGCACGGCCCACCTGATGGTGAGTGGTTACCGTCGCCCATGGACTTCAGCAATGCCAGGGGCAGAGCCAAGCCGCTGCCTATCGCTTAATACTCTCCACAAGCCTCTTTTGACGGACATGTCATAGCGCTCGGGAAACACCGTGGAGGGGAGCTCATTCCATAGCCGGATGGTGCGTGGCAAAAAAGACCTCCGGGAACGCACTGTCGATGAACGCAGCGGTTCCAGATAATATGGATGAACAGGGGCAGATCCAAGCCGTTGCCTACCGAGCCAAGCCGCTGCCTACCGAGCCAAGCCGCTGCCCACCGAAAATCTTATTTAACAGTGCGCTTAGAATGTTACAATTTTTTTTTATAGCCTTTTTAGGCAGATGAGCATACGGCCCACCTGATGGTGAGTGGTTACCGTCGCCCATGGACTTCAGCAATGCCAGCGACAGAGCCAAGCCGCTGCTTACCTTTCAATAGTGTCTTTTCAGATAGCCGTTATGACATGAAAGGTGCCTTAGATGCATACTTCATCGTTGATATATGAAATACTTCGTAGTTTTAGTTTCAAGTCGTATGAAATAACGCGTTTTTAGCTAATATGAATCACGCGTTGAATGAACATTAGGGAGAAAGAAAATGTCACTGAGAAATTTTAAGTGTTGTTCTAGGTGTTTTAAAAAATGTGGATAAATTGGTGAATGAGCTCATGGTCGTTAAATGATTACCGAGCGTCTGTAGACAGCACGAGGAGAACAGCATCATCTACCCTGACAATCATGTCTCAATTATGTTGTCTCAATTATGTGTAATGGACGTTCCAACCTTCAAATGGCTGCGTCCCGATATTTATTTGGGGCCTTCGGTAGGTGGTCCTTACCCTCATGGACTGACAATACGATCTTTTTGTAGGCAGGGGCTTGGCTCTGCCCCTGGCATTACTGAAGTCCATGGGCGACACTAACCACTCACCATCAGGTGGGTCGTGTGCGTCTGCCCACAAGGGCAATAAAAAAGCTACCTGTAATGAATAGCTTTACCTTGTTGGGCATGTGTAGGTAGACACCTTTCTTGAAAAGCATCATGGCGCAATCCGCGTGGCCATTGAGTGACGCAATGTGCATCAAAGTGCTGCCGTCCTTGGTCCTCTCGAAGATCGAAGCCTTAAACTTGTCTGCCAGTAGTTCAATGATGGCGGCGTGACCATTCTCCGCTGCTAAATGCATTGGAGTTCGATCTGTGGAGTATCATCGCAGGTTTTACCTTGTCTTTAATCAACTGCTGACTTTTTTGTGTGTTTAATGACTGGATGAGCTCACGGCACACATGGTAGTAAGTGGTTATCGGAGCTCATAGACATCAACAACGTAAATGCCGCCACCAAATTTGAGGCATGCGTTCTAAGGCCTCAGTTTTTACCGATCCGGCATAAATGGGTACCACCGTCTTTCAGTTCTCTTCTCCGTAGCTGTTGTAGCAATGCAATTGAAACTACAAAATTATGAATCGGTCTGCCTAACCGCTACTGCCACTACTGATTAAGACTCTTCGTTTGAAGAAGGAGATCTATTAACTCGAAAGGTGATTGTGGATGAATGTAGCGATTCCAAAATAACGAAGGTGTCATATTAGGGCCCTTAGGAACGGTACAAAAATCAAGGGAATCAAAATCATTTCAGAATTGTAATGGTGCCTACAATACGAATGATTGCTCATTGCGTGACAAGCTTTATTAACCTCGCACTGATAATCGAACTCGAGTATTTCAAGAAGGAAGTCCACTCAACATATCGTACATATAGTAACATATCGTAATTACTGCATTGTATCTGGATATCGGTTTCAACCCGTCTTCAACACAATACCTAATTTAAACGACAAAATCTCACCCTCATTATCTGCAATCGCAGCGTTAGCCCTGACTCCATAGAAGTACTTTACTAAAGGCTCATCGCCTTCAGCTGCGGCTATATGTAAAGGTGTTTGTCCAGCGCCATTCGTAGCGTCGACTACTGCTCCGTAGTCCACTAAGATTCTGGCCATGTCTACGTCCCTCCTTCTGGCAGCTAGATGCAGAGCGGTGTCTCCGGCAGGCGTCGTCGCCTAGGTAGATTCGGTTAAGTGTATGGATTGGTGCAAAATTGGAACAGATCATGAAGTCAATAAGGCAGGAGTCGACGACTGGGTAGATTCGGTTAAGCGTATAGATTGGCTGATATTGTACGAATTTACTGACATTATGTTCTCCTAAGAAGAATTATTAAAACGAAGTTCAGGCAAATGTGGTCCCTCCGAGGCCCGAGCTTCGTTACGGACTGCCATCCCATCTATTTCTTCTGCAAAGCGGTCATTCGTTCCATTTTGAATGGTTTTGATCTATTATCCATGACTTGAAGTTTCAAGACTTGAACCTTTTGTTACAATTATCTACTACTACTGATGTCCTATTTTCCCTTAGTTCTAGTGTTTTTACATCGTATTCTTTTTTTTTCTATTTAACTTCCTCTAAGTCTCCGCCTAATTTTTATTTTGAGCACTGTAATAGATTGGTAGCATCATCTCACCTATTTTAGCTACGAATCACGGGTTCAAGTGTGGAGGGCGGGTTTTCTTTTATTTTAATAACACATGCTTCACTTATTTCAAGAAGGGCGCTAACAATTGCCTCATTGATAAAATAAATTTTATTTTAATTCAGGTAAGCTTACACAGACTCTTATATCGTTATGACTTTAGCATAGATGTAAAATGCAGTTTTAACTCAGATAGATCGATATGAAACTGGGGGCTTTCCTTTTTCCAAATGGCGTTAATGAAAGTACATAACAAAATCTATTAATATTAATGTATCGGTTCATTTAATAAGGATAACAGTTCTGCGTTACGGGGCTATGGCCGAAGATCTGCTATGCGGAAATTCAAGATCAATAGTGTCTTTGGATTCCGAGAACAGCTTCACATCAGATGGACAAACATAATGCATGCCTCTCTTGATTTAAATAAAATGTAATAACCTTCATTTATTGCATCAAAAACCACTTCTTTTAAATTACAATTTAATTGTGCCTTGCAAATGTGCCGAGTTTAGCTCAAATATATCGTTACATTAGGTCCGCGACACTAGCAAAGATAATGCAGTTTTATTCAGCCCAGACACAGTAAAGCAACTTCGTATTTATAAAACACAAGGCGCACCCATTAAATTAAACTTAAAAAATGTTGCTATAGAATAATAGCAGGCGCCCCGTACATACCTTCAGTTGTTCAGCCGTTTGTGCGCTTAGCAGCTCTCGGACCATGCTCTGGTTCCCGGCCTCCACCGCGAGCAGCAGCGGGACCTTGCCTCTCTGGAACACCAGGTCGCGTATTAGCTTTTTCCATTCCTTCTGTTTGGCTCTTTCTTTATTCAGCTCTATAAAACTTAGTTCGAGCCTTTGGAGGTCCTTTTGCTGGTTAGCAGGCGGACTACGGACTCCCGATGAAAAATTTATATTCGCGCTTCTCGGCACGTCTCTCCCGCTATCAGACATACCGCGGAACTACCTTCGCACGTACCAAAGTCGCAACTAATTCGCTATTTGCAGCCGGCACTGCACGAAACCCTCATATCGTGACACACAGACAATAGTATGCGACTTATGTGCATTGGAATCTTATAGGCGTTCCGTGGAATATACGAATCGATCGTTCCGCTTCCACGTCATTTCAACTCTGAAGTCAGACGGATTGTAGACGACGAGGATACGTACTTGATCCTCCATGGTTACTATCCTAGCGACGCGAACGTAAAGTCGGAAGCCATCGTGGAGCTACCTGCTCCTTCTCGTGACGAAAGAGCGACTGAGACTCATTGTATTAAAATTAGTAATTTTGAATTTCATCGTCGACGCTATAACTAATATTCAGCGAGTAATTTGCATTGTAAATTTTGCGCGGTGACGTTTACCCGGCGGCTAAAGCTCGACGGATAATTAGCTACTTTCCATTCGCGTGGGGTGGCTCGTTTTCACTATCGGAACGTCCTTAAAACGCCAGCGCCGACTTCCCCTTGTCGAGTTTTGGCTGGATTTTTTTTTAAGGAATAATTAATATTTGTCAAATTAATGCGTGTCGCGTCACGTGATGGGCGACCACGTTACGGTGTTTTCATAATTTGGCCCATCGGGTTCGGTAGTATAGGGAGGATTTGTTTACGGGCCGCGTTGTGGGAGTATTTGGGGGCAATTCCTTAATCAGGGGTGGGTGGCGGTGCCAGGCGACGGGCGGCTGCACGCGATGGTGCGACGCTGCATCCACTACTCCTACTAGTGTTTACCGATCGACTCTTTTGCCAGTCGCAAGTCTAAACTTTATCGATTCACGCGATGGTGCTTTGAATGCGACATCGGCGTGCCTTTCGCTTTACTAGCGACGTATCAATGTTATGATTGTGATCTTTCTCTTGAGGTCGACTTGGAGTTCATTGAACGAAACATTGAAATTTTATTACAGGTATTCTGTTTTTAAGACACTAATTAAAGTCACTTAAAACTTAAGACTAAGATTCAGCGAAGCACTGCTCTTGGTAGAGTTAGTGTTAGCCTCCCAGATTGAGTCCCGTGAGCTCACCTACCAGTCTGCGAGAAGTTGAGTTAACCACTTGGACTATCAACAATTAGGTAGGCGAACGAATTAAATTCTTATCGATACAGCCCGGAGTTCGGTCTGTCTTAAAACTTCTGACAATAGCACGCAAGCGAGGGCGCAGAATTAGGAAGAATGCTGAGATCTCATTTCGGACGCAAAGAACAACTACGTCACAATAGTATCTTAAGTTGAACATAATATAATGTATTGCAATGGACATCAAAATGATTAATTAATTAAAGACGAGTAATATGCGATAAACGTTTGACAGTTATAACAATCCGTCAGCCGTTACAGAATCGTAAGAAATGTGGCGTTTGTATATCGAGTGGTCAAAGGATATTTGGTTTAAGTGACATTTTTGCAACTTCACAGGAGAGGCATTTAAAGTATAAAATTTGGAAAAAATATTATAACAAAAAAAAACTTCTTCCGGTAGTTGAATGCGGTAAAGTTAATTGAAGTTCAATTAAAAACATCGATTGTCGAACAATTGGTGATGCTAATACCAAATAAAACGGACCTTTAATTACAAAGGTAAGTGTCGCGTATTTAGCAAAATGTCGCTTAGACCAAATAACCTTTCATCCATGGTTTTTTTTTTTATTACTTAGATTTGTGGACAGCCCACCTGGTGTTAAGTGGTTACTGGAGCCCATAGATATCTACAACTTAAATGCGCCACCCACCTTGAGATATAAGTTCTAAGATCTCAAGTATAATTACAACGGCTGCCCCACCCTTCAAACCGAAACGCATTACTACTTCACGGCAGAAATAGGCAGGGTGGTGGTACCTATCCGCGCGGACTCACAAGAGGTCCTACCACCAGTAATACGTACGTAATAATATGTACTTACTCCATCAGCTCGTAGGCGTATATCTTTTCCAGCGGCAGTCAGGAGTGCTCTAAGTATGCTCGTGGCCGTTCCTGTTTGTCTGCTCGCCACTATGTGGACTGCTGTCTGCTGTCGACTCTAAATTAATAAAGATTGACAATGACAAGAATGAAATTTAGAATCTTTTTTTTTTTGGAACGAAGTTCCTAATGGGACGACGCGGAGGCGTACCCTAACCGGGAAAAACGTCCGTAACGTAAGATTTTTATCAGTAATGCACACAGTGTACGACTTAACTTTGTAATAACGTACAAATTAGTAATGTATGCAGTGTACGACATAACTTTGTAATAACGTACAAAAAATAACATATTTTTTTATCATTCATTGACCACAATTTCAGAGCATTCGTTTGCGCAATACAGATACTCTTATACAAACAACCATGAAGGAAGTGTACCACAATAAGTTCGCACGTTACCGAGTGACCGTGGGTTGTTGCGAAACCTCCAGTTTTATTTTCTTTATACTTCGAATAGAACTTAAAATTAATATTGTTATAATAAGGAACTTCGTTCCTATCCCGTGTCCCATGACACCACACATCTTTTTTTTTTATGAGACAGAGCAATGTATCTGTAAATATACTATAGGTACAGGGTGTATCATTTTTGAAATGATGATAGGTGGTTGTACTGATTATAAACTAGTGGTAACTTCGAACGGAATGCAATAAAAACGAATGAGTTGGACACTCGCGAATATCTTTAACGATTTTTAGACGAAAGGCTCATTCCATGTATTGCCCTTGACTCGGATCACCGTTGACTTGTATGAGAAACACGCATTGGGTCACGTCCATAATAACTTTGATAGCGTGAAGAAATCAGTTTGCAGTTGTTCTTCTTAGCTTTCCTAAATCTGTAGCATTCTATAGAATCAGGTATGGAGGAGGAATCTGAAAGTTTTGTACGATTCTATTGTCTGTTTGGCGGAATGAAAAGTTTTAATGGCACCAACTTCAAAATTCCTCATTAGTTTTTTTTTTGTTTCGGTATTCTTCCAAATTCTTTCTACAGTATATCGTTCAAAACGATTATTGTCATTAGTCACGCTGAATTCAAATATCTCGAAAGACGATTCTAGACATTTGAATTAAGGCTGGAAATTGAATGAATAGTTTTCAAATAGATAACGCAGCTTTTTGGTGAAATTGAAGACATTCTTGGGTGACTTTTTATTCTTTTAATACTTATGCGACTACCTTCATAATATAAAGCGTGTGAAGAGACCGTTCGACAAAAACGAAAAGAAAATAAAGTAATTTCCTTAACGAGAATTAATCGTAAGTGGTACGTACGGTAATCGCTTGGCAGGTGCGGCGTGGGCTTATAACCAACCCTCTAAGCAATAAAGAAGTAAACTCACGATGCGAAGCGTGGTACTCACGCCTCAGTTCTAATTAACGGCCGTCTGGTGTAGTGGTAAGTGACATGGTCACTACACAAGGGGGTCGCGGGTTCGAATCCCGCCAAGGGAAGATATTTGTACGATAAATATAAAAGTCTTTTCCAGGGTTATGGATGTATATTAAATATGTGTATGTTTATAATAAAAATCTTATATTTATTTCCGTTATCTGGTACCTGTAACACAAGTTCTTTACGAACTTATCACGGGACCAGTTAACGTGGCGTGACTGTTAGTAAATACTAAAAAAAAAAAAAAAAAATTGCTGTACATTGAGGGCATTGTAATATGGTCACACTCGATATAATGAAAAATATGTGTGTTTTTATTATTATTTTATCGCTTAGATGGGTGGACGAGCAAACCACCTGGTGTTAAGTGGTTACCGGAGCCCATAGACATCTACAACGTAGATGCCGCCACTCACCTTGAGATATAAGTTCTAAGGTCTCAGTATAGTTACAACGGCTTCCCTACTCTTCAAACCGAAACGCATTACTGCTTCGCATCAGAAATAAGCGGGTGATGGTACCTACCCCTGTGCGAGCTCACAAGACTCTATCACCACTCATCGCCAGGTGGCTTGTGTCTTTTTATTTTTTATTGCTTAGATGAGTGGACGAGCTCACAGCCCACCTGATGTTAAGTGGTTACTGGAGCCCATAGACATCTACAACGTAAATACGCCACCCACCTTGAGATATAAGTTCTAAGGTCTCAGTATAGTTACAACGGCTACCCCACCCTTCAAACCGAAACGCATTACTGCTTCACGGCAGAAATAGGCAAGGCGGTGGTACCGACCCGTCCGGACTCACAAGAGGTCCTACCACCAGTAATTACCTGCCACCTGCCACCACTGGTAACCACATATCACCGGGTGGGCCGTGAGCTCGTCTTAGCAATAAAAAGTAAAAATTAATAAATTTAACATATAATTAATAAATTGTTAATAAAAAAAAATTTACACGTTACAAACAGATAAAGCTAGGTAATAAATTAACACAATGCTTTAATAAATTATCGAATTCGATTGATAAATAAATCACCTCCTCTTTCCATCACTCGACATTTTCCTTGAGTTGGAGGAAGAAGTAAGGGAACAACTATCAAGTTCAAAGTATGTCCAGACGTACTTATTGTCTTCGTTAATTCTACTATTTAGCCGAAACAGACTAATAAAACAAGGTTGATTATTCTTTTAGTAGTTGCAGTTGTGTTTCCAGTATATTTTTTTTAGATTTTTCTTCCACCGAAACGTCAAGATGACGTCACGATGAGATCGAACTACAGAGTATCAAAATCGAAGGTTTCTTGAGTTAATCTAATTAATAAATAGGATTGGTAAGAATGGAACGTATGAAAATATTGTAGAACGGAGCGGTATGATGTGAGTGAGAGGAAACAGAAAGAAAGGGAGAAGATACTGACAGACAGAATGACAGAAAATAGGAGGATGGCGAAGACGGTTTAAAAATGAGCAAGGCGTAATAAAAGTGTTAATTATTAATTTTTGCAACGAAGTTCCTTACGGCAGGCTTGGAGGGGATAGGGATTTTGCTGCGCGACCGAACTGAAAAAAATGTGATAGTAAAACCGTAAGAAAAAATCCGTGGAAAAAAGTGCGTGGAATAAAAGCGTTAAATGAGACGTGCGCAGGCGCGACAGTCGTATACACAAGCGAGTAGTGTATAATACCTTTCTCTTTCTCCCTCTTTCTTTTCGTTCTCTCATCCCTTCTCTCTCTATTTTGTAATTATTTCTATTTCTATGTAATTTTATGTTGTCAAACAAAAATAAAGAGACATATTTTGTTATTTTAATTGATAATTTGAATTACGATTTTATTTTTATTTTACGTAGTTTATTATTTTCTAAAATACTGAATTTCCTAAATACTTTCCTGTACTTAAATAAAAACTAACCAGCAAAATTTAAGAGAAAAATCAAGAAAACCAACATAAAATTGAGCACGATTTTTTTTTGCAAATTGTGTCGATTCTACATTAACCGAAGGAACTTCGTTCCTACCTGGTGTCCCACGACACCACATTTTTTATTAATTATTATTATGACAGAAGAGTTTGGAAGAGTGTAAAAGTTACACTTTATGTGCTGCGATCCCTCTTCTATATCTATAAGGTAACTTAAAAAAATTCAAGGTCAAATAAATGCTTAGAATGCGGGTTTTAACTACATTGGAAGGTATTCTATGAAAACAGCGCTGGATCGCCGACGTATGTTGGTTCGTAAGATACCCCAACAGAAGTCATACAACTCGACTTCTTATTTTTAGCATATTTGTTAATTTCCATATCCTTACCCCGCCGGTGGCAAAAGGATCGACTCCCCTTTTCGAGAGTAGTAGCTTGACAATATCTTCCCTCGAGTACATGGCTGAGATGTGGAGCACATTGTAGTTGTCCTGCGAAAACAAAAGCACGGTTAAAATAACATAAAACATATAAAATTATACTATTATTACGGTTAAAATAACATATCGTCAAGTTGTTGATTAAACTCTCTTGGATCAACTCAACTTGGATTTAATAATATTTTTTATGCGTTTTCCGATTACCTACATAACTATCTACCTATTTTTCACACTACGTTATCTACTTAAGCAGGTGTTTACTTAATTTTGGAAATTGCCAACCCTAGCGTTTTTTCTATTCACCTCATACCTCTTGTCTATTGAACCCATGTGCGGTCAATAGAAACGAAACAAATTTTTGCATTTTGTGCTGTAAAAAAGTAATAAATGCCAATTTAGATGACTGAAAACTATAAAAACAGCTAAGAGACATGACATAGGTAAGCCCAATATAATGTTCTTTCGACTATTGAAGACATATACAGATATAAATGAAGTAAAGTTCAATATTGTGTCTATTTACACCGTTTTACGGAACCTATTTATTGAAGCGACACTCGCTGTGCACCACGAGACATCCAAATCTCAATTGATTCGGAATAATAATTTGGTTGACCAGTAGAGAATGCCTTAAGCTTTAACTCCGCTTATATACAAATACATAAAGCTTAATAAATAAAAGAGTAGGTTAGATTATACGACTAACCGGGTCATAGCGTTTATTTCGCACTAACTAATATATAAATAACAGTATATAATACATTCGTTGTTATCTTATAGTAAACAGATTTGAATACAAAGTGAGTGACGGCTCACAGTATACGGTGCACGCAACGCTGATATAAACTGCAAAGATGGAAATAACTCGACAATTTATCTACTAGCGGAAGGGGGGGTGAAGGTTGAAACAATTTACTTCAAGTATCGTAACTTACCGGCTACATTTGCAGTATAGAAAATGATTTAGAGCTGAAAAGATCGATTAAAATGCGAAGCTTAGCCCCTGCTGTTTATTTGACTAGTGTCAATGACGCGATTTATTAGTCGCACGTGCCAATCGTATAAGCCAGTGTGCTTATTGCGAGTTTTTTAACTTTCTTGATAGCGATAGATTGGTATGCAATTGGAACAGCGCTCCTGGCGGCAAACGTACGCAAACGATGTCATTCCATACAAATATCAGCTAACGTTTACGCTATCGAGAACGTTAAAAACTCGCACTAAGCACACTGAAGTCGTCGTGGCCTAAAAGGATAAGACGTCCGGTGCATACGTGTTGAACGATCCAACTGTATTCAAATCCCGCAGGTGGATATCAATTTTTCTAATGAAATACGTACTCAACAAATGCTCACGATTGACTTCCACGGTGAAGGTAGAATATCGTGTAATAAAAATCAAACCCGCAAAACTATAATTTGCGTAATTACTGGTGGTAGGACCTCTTTTGAGTCCGCGCGGATAGGTACCACCCTCCCGCCTATAACTGCCGTGAAGCAGTAATGCGTTTCGGTTTGAAGGGTGGGACAGCCGTTGTAACTATACTAAGACCTTACAGCTTATATCTCAAGGTGGGTGGCGTATTTACGTCATAGATGTCTATGGGCTCCAGTAACCACTTAACATTAGGTGGGCTGTGAGCTGGTCCACCCATCAAAGCAATAAAAAATCCATCAGAATCCGTTTAGCCGTCTTTGTAATATTACTCTATTAATATTATTAGAGTACAAAATGGCTGGTGGCGTTTACATTACCTGCTTCAGCATCTTAAGTTCAACTAGGACTTTAAAAATAATTAAAAAAATAAAGTACTTATTCCAAGCATAAATTTGAACAACTAAAATTAAAACAATAATAAATAAAGGAAAAATATCGAGGCTTGGAAAAGTTTACCTACTTAGTAGGTACCTAATGCCTAACATCACACTTGTCACAAAAAAAGTTTGCCAATCTCCGATAATCACATTGACAGTTCAATGGATTAACACAGAGTATACCTAATAGTCCTGGCTTGAACAATACATAATATCACATCATTTGATATAGTACCTAATATTAACATACAGTTCAAGAATATAGCTTAAACAACAATAGCAATAACACAAAGAGCGTATGTGACACATAACTGACCCTTAGATTTTCTTTGTATTTTTCAAGTCGACCATAATTATATTTTTGCGTGACATACATTCAAATTACAACGGTGAATTTCGGCGAAAATGCCATGAACTTTGTACTGATTCACGTCTGATGATTTAACTATGAGTGAATATTACTGCAATATCAGATGCTCGAGTTAATTTAGTTAAATTTTTTTTATCATAGACTAGCTGACCCGGCAGTCTTCGTCGGGCCTCAATTTATAAATAAAAGACCTAAACTTTTGTATAAAATAAACTTAAAACAAACAAAGGGAATCCATCCGACGGGGGACACATCAAAGGAAAAACAAAATTGTTATTTTTATTTAATTCATTCATTTATCTACCTTTTAACCCTTCTCTGGATTTCCACAAATAATTCAAGACCAAAATTAGCCAAATCGGTACAGCTGTTCTCGAGTTTTAGCGAGACTAACGAACAGCAATTCATTTTTATATATATGAGATATAAAATAGACTAGTGAAATCCATTCCCCTTTCATGACTATCTTGATAGTTGTGTGAAGCCCCATACACACAACCCACTGTGTTTCTCGTCGGATCTTTTTAGTGGGTCGCCGTTCTACCACTAAATTGAAATTCAACGAAGCACTGCTTTTGCTAGGATCAGTGCTAGCATATATTCTCTCAGAGTGATCCTTCAGTCTCATCCACCGGTCCGTGAGTATCTGGAATAGTCTCTTAGGCTACCAGCAATTAAGTAGGGACGGTACTATGTTAAGAACTTCAATGAAGTGCTCATAACCGCTTAAAATTTCATCATAACCGGGTTTATGATTTAGAAATACTTAGAGGACAAAGAAATATTAATTTATTTATTAAGATCGTAGTATCCAAAATTCTAATCACACCTTAACCATTAAGACATTCTCTAAGAGATTTCCAAATTAGTGTTTTTAGCTTAAGTGTTACGTGATCATATAGCATCAGAGACAGACGTTATGAAGTCGAATAAGCCACAAGAAATCTTAGATTTAAATGTCTGCTGCATAACCTAGATTCATTTTGAATCGATTTATGTTAAGTTTAAGGGTTCAAAAATCATCTTGTTAAATGTGAAATTTAAATAAGTCCATGTGAAAATGAAAGTACAAAAAAAGAAACTAAGCATGTTTTTTTTGTGTGCAATTATTTAATGCAATCATTTTTAATACGCTTTTATTAGCTTCAGTCGTATGTATGTTAGTATGTAACGGAATCTTTGAACATGATTTTGACCCCCTTCAAAACGTCGCAATAACTCGAAATTTGGTATAGGTACTTATTAAGGACCAATGGCAATTAAATAGGTATTAAAAAAAGTTGAAAAAATAGAAATTCTACTAAAAAATAAAAAAAATTATAGTTTAAAAAAACAAAACAAAAAAAGCGTGGGGTGCATGGTATCAGTAGTATAATAATAGTATAATATAAATATTTTATGAACAGATATAAGTAGAAGGGTTATTTCGATAATATCCTGAAAAGCACACCACGCTTTTTTTAAATAAAATATTTTTTTCTTACACAATTTTTAATTCAAATTAAAATTTATTTTCAATTTTTTTGTTGGATTTTCTATAAAGGCGTATTGTGTTAGTTTTTTTAAACTATTATTTTTTAATGCAATCATTTGAGTCGTGAATCGCAGGGCACTGGTATCGCGGCATCGGTTACGGCGGCCATGTAAGTACTTGAGCGACGTGGGTCTAAAGTACAGCGCACACTGGAGCGACTACGCTATCGAAGCTAAGTAAAGATATGTTTTTCTTGAAACAGAAAAAGATTCTCATTTTTTTTACTATATCATTGTTTATACTTTAAATTTAAATGAAGATTTGGACAAGGAACAAGGGACTTATACTACTTCATAAACATGTTTTATACAATCAATTTATAAACATTGAAAGCAAACATGAGTTAATTTTATTACCGTTGTAGGCCTGACTTCTTTTATTATTGCTGAGATGGTGGTTGACGAGCTCACGATCCACTTGGTGTTAAATGGTTACCGGACCTCATAGACATCTACAATGTAAATGCCGCCACCTACCTTGAGATATAAGTTCTAAAGTTTCAATTTTTATAGTGCAACGGCTTTCAAATCGAAACGCATTACTGCTTCACAATAGAAATAGTCAGGGTGGTTGCACATACTCGTGCGGACTTGCAAGAAGTCCTACCACCAGTAATTTCACGAATTATAATTTTTGCGGGTTTGATTTATACTACATGATATTATTTCTTCACCGTGGAAGTCAATCGTGAATTGTTAAGTAAAAAAAAGTATGTATTTCATTAGAAAAACTGGTATCTGCCTGCGAGATTCGAAAACCGGCACAATCGCATCGCTAAATACGAATGCACCGGACGTCTTATCCTTTAGGCCACGAATTCATTATAAAATAAATATAAACTACATAATATATACGACTATAACATTTAATATAAAATTAATTCATAGTGTTCATAGGTATATGAAATGCATTTTATATTTATTTCTTGACCGCAATGACCCGTCAGAGGTAATGGGCGTAAATCAAAGTCTGCACTTATCGCAATATCTACGATGGTTTCTAGGTAAATCTAGTGACGTAATCTATGTTAACCTTGTTTTATACTGGCTTAACTATACTATAGATTTTTGTGGAATTTTAGAAAATATCGAGGAGGTATATTCATTTCAATATTTTTTGTTAATTTTTATATTTTTAAGCTCACATTATGTCACTTTTATGCAAACCATGAATTTCAGTTTATTTCTTGTCTATTAACTCTTTATTTTTGTGTATCTGAAGTAAAGTTGTTGTATTCTTTGTACGAGGAGCACTGCTGCTTGAGATACAGGTTTTATCACTTAGTTCAAGCACAGATGCACATTATGATTGTGTGTCTACTTCTATGTTAATAATCTATTGTATATAAAAATGAATTGCTGTTCGTTAGTCTCGCTAAAACTCGAAAACGGCTGGACCGATTTGGCTAATTTTGGTCTTGAATTATTTGTGGAAGTCCAGAGAAGGTTTAAAATGTAGATAAATATGAGAACGTTCGGAATTAAATAAAAATAACAATTCTGTTTTTCTTTGATGTGTCCCCCGTCGGACTAATTCCATTTGTTTTTTTTAAGTTTATTTTATACAAAAGTTTAGATCTTTTATTTATCGATTGAGGCACTACGAAGTCTGCCGGGTAAGCTAGTAAATAAATAAAAATATATTTAATATAAAATATATGATAAAGGTATATTGTAGAGGTTTCTTCACGGGTATGGATACAATTCCCGGTTGAAGTCTGTGTGTATGTTTGAAATAGATTTAGGCTGCGAGTAAACTTGTTTCTGGCTTGTATTTATTTTTCAGAATACATCACTTATTTTACAGTGATATTAATAGATACATTTGTTTACAGCTTTTTGGAAAAAAAAACCAACACAAAGAATTCTCACACACAAAAACCGTGAATATGGAATTGTAATTTACATGTGTACATGCTATTATAGGGAATACGTTCCTGGGTGACAAAAACATACTTTAAGCTTAGTTGTAATAAGGTCTATTTTATTTTTTATTAGTCCATTTAGCGACGCATTTACAAAGAGTATTCAGTTGGGTACCTAAATATTTATTGAAATTCTTTTTATCAATATGTATGTACCGATGTACAGATTGGATCCGCGAATAAAGAAACCTTTAGCCGCGAATATAGAATTTGGTTTGCATTTTTTTAATCTGCGAATAGTGATAACGCGAATGAAAGAAGAGCGAATAAAGAGCTTATACTGCATTTAAGCTTTTTCCCTGTGGAATTTAAATTGGATGAAAACTTCTATTTTTAAAGTACCCTCTCATGCATAATCCTATCATTTTCATTTTCTTTGTTTATCATGTTTTTGACTGTGCATTTTAATAACTAATTCATGCACTAACAAACATGTTTTTTTTTATATTTGAATTAGAAATACTACCTTTTAGTGCCTCAAATATATTGTATATTTATTATCATTGATTTTCGTTTTAAATTTAAATGAGTAAAGACTAAAATAACTAGAAGTTGTCCGGAGATACACGTCTGTAACTAATGAAAGACATAAACAACACGATCATTTCCAAAAACATAGCTTTATTGATTTTTTATATTTTAGCTAGTATTACAACACAAGGTCGTGCGACGCCGTGTAGTTCGCATGTTTTGTGAGAAATTACCAGTCCGTTCCAGTTTCTTTGGCACGTTTCTTGTACCTACACGGCTTTAATAGTGAACCTTTATGAATAATAAAAGACGAATAGAGGAATATATAAATGTAGGATTGGTAAGAACGGAACGTATGAAAAGAACGGAGCGTTAAGATGTGAGTGAGAGGAAACGGAATGAAAAGGAAAAGAGAATGACAGACAGAATGACAGAGAAAAGGAAGATGGTGAAGACGGTTAAAAAAAAGAGCAAAGCGTATGTAATAAAAGTGTTAATTATTTTTTAATTAATATTATAACAACTGGTGGTAGGACCTCTTGTGAGTGTAAGTACCACCACCCTGCCTATTTCCGCCGTGAAGCAGTAATGCGTTTCGGTTTGAAGGGCAGGGCAGCCGTTGTAACTATACTGAGGCATTAGAACTTATATCTCAAGGTGGCGCATTTACGTTGTGGATGTCTATGGGCTCCAGTAACCACTTAACAGCAGGTGGGCTTCGCTCTAATATATAGAAACCAGTATAAATCGGACAAAAAAAAAGATGAAATTAATTTGCTAGTTCAGTTTGCTGTTGAAGCGATCGTTTTTTTCTGTTTCGAAGTTACGGACATTTGAGCGGAACCCTTAAAAACTAGACACACATAACTATTGTTACGCCTGTAAGAGTAACGCCATCTATCGCCGAATAGTTGAACGAATATCGAAGGATCTAATAGTACCTAGAACGTTTGAGAAGTACAACGCCATCTATTGTCAGATAATGGAAGCAAAATACTAGAGATGTGTGAAATATTCTCGATAATTCTAAGGATGTGGTATCGACTATAAAAGCGTTGCAGAGATAGCACGCAGTCAGTTAGTAATCGGAACTACTCGAAACAGCGAACGGATCACCTGAAGCGAAGCGGAAGAAGCAAATTGAGAATTTTAAAGTGTTTGTGAAGTGTTTTAAGTGTTCTAAGTGTTGAATACAGTTTTTAGTTGTACTTTGGTGGAACATTTATTTATCCCGAGCCCCAGCGTGTAACACTATACATACATTGTTTCTGGCTCCAACGTCAGAACCCAGTTCGATGAGGCGCTCCACAAACGATGTCCGGTTATCTTTGACCGCGTACATGAGCGGCGTCATACCCGTAGCCTGAAAAACAAAATAACACTTTAACTTCTTTACTGAAATTTATAAGCAAAAAACCATATCATATATATCAAATTTTCTTATTAAACAAGCAAATGACCGAAAGGAACTGATGATACATATAATTCGTTCGACGAACCAAATTGGTAATGGATTATATTAATACGTCGCATAAATTAACAACTAAGAAAATAATGTGCCTTATTAACACGTAATATTAATATTAAAAATATTAATATTAAAAAATTTAAGAGTTTGTTTGTTTGTTTGGTTGAACGCGCTAATTTCAGGAACCACTGGTCCGATAACATAACGCTAAAACCAATATGAGCGGAGCACTAATAAAGAATGTTTCCAAATCGGGCTTACTTTCCTTTGGAGAGCTTCCGCTGCGTGCGTTGCGGAAACGGTTAAAGTTTCGCTATAATAATGTATGAGGGAATTCCTCCCCTTTATAAGTTCTAAAAAAAAGTCCACGACAGCATATCTCTATGTTTTAAGGTTCGCTCAACTTTTTTATGCTAATAAGCCATATTGTTGTTTTCACTTCATAGACTTAAATCTTTAAAACATGGCACTTAATTTGAGTGAGGGAGCTCGAAGCGATTCTAAGCCATCTGTAATTAGGGTCTTATTTATGTTTGTAATTCCTAAATGTGCATGCGGAGGTTTCGTTCTAGATAATATGCTTGGGTGCTGTTTAAAATTTTGGCTTGATTTCGACAAAGATACGGTGAAATTTTATGCGGAAAAGCGCTTATGTTGTAACCGACTTCAAATAAAAGGTAGTCCTAAATTTTAAATTCCTTTATCGTTTTGTAGCACGAATACAATGACATAAGGTCGAATTTGCAAATGCATTTAAGTTTTTTTATTTCGATCCTTCAATCTAGGTACATCTACATTTGCTTTGTCACAGTCTTGCTCGCCTGTAAAGGCAAACAAATTATTAATCATTTTATTCTTTGGTATTCATTTATTTGTGACTAGCGGCCCGCTCCGGCTCCGCTCGGGTCTTTAACAAAAATTTCAACGATATTTGACGTTGTTTTATTTATTTTAAATAAAATAACACTTATTGCGGCATAACTATAATAGTTAGACATATGCTGTCGCGACACTTTTTGTAAATAATAATGTGTTCTACAAAGTCGTAGTACATTATTTTATTCTTACATCAATAGTTTTCGCAGGGCACGCGATGTAAAGAATATTTTAGGTAATTTTTTTATACCTTGGGTTACATTATTGGAGTTTTAGTAATTTCCCTAAATCCCTAAATTAAATATCCCTATTTTTTTTCAAAAAACATTATAGCCTATGTTACTCAGGAATAGTGTAGCTTCCAAACAGTGACAGAATATTCAATACAAACAAACAAACAAATCTTTCCTCATTATAATATTAGTATAGACGATTTTTGTCTTAGTCCTGAAATTCAGTAATACGCAGCGGATGGAGCGTGAATCATTTCGAACGAATGTAATTTCATACAGCTAACGAACTTCCGGTGGGGCGTCGTTAAAATCATCGGCCATAATAAGTTTACTTAATAATATTCAGCTGGTGCAGAAAGAGGTTAATGTATTCAAGTAAATGTCGTATAGGTTAGTCCTCACTATTTCCTGTTTTTTTTTAAACCCATATATAGTCTGTGTGCTTAGTGCGAGTTTTTTAACGTTCTCGATAGCGTAAAAGTTTACCCAATTTTGTATGCAGTTGGAACAGCGCCCCTAACGGCACACGTAGGCAAACGAACTCATTCCATACAAATATAAGTTGACTTTAACTCTATCGAGAACGTTAAAAAACTCGCACTAAGCACACTGTACGGCTTCACTGCGTCTTAACGCGTTCATTGCGTTTCGAGGTCATATTGACCCCAATATAATTTTCAAGCGATGCGTTGAGAAAAGTACTGCTATCTCATTTGATTCGATACTTTTATTTCTCTTAAAACTAAGCAGTGTGTTCGTAGTAGGTAGATTATTTAAATAAATAAAAAAATCGTTTTTCTTTTCGAAACGTTATATTTATTTATTTATTTTTGTTTGTTTATTATTTTATTACTGGTGGTAGGACCTCTTGTGAGTCCGCACGGGTAGGTACCACCACCCCGCCTATTTTTGCCGTGAAGCAGTAATGCGTTACGGCTTGAAGGATGGGGCAGCCGTTGTAACTATACCTGAGACCTTAGAACTTATATCTCAAGGTGGTGGCGCATTTGCGTTGTAAATGTCTATGGGCTCCAGTAACCACTTAGCACCAGGTGGGTTGTGAGCTCGTCCACTCATCTAAACAATAAAAAAAATACGCTGTATAATTTAATTTGTTTCTGTTTAATATAACATTCATAAATTACTAGTACTAGGCATTTACTTATACACTTTTGTACTAACGTTTATTACCATACAAATAAATGATTATACATACTGGCGTAACAGTTAGTTTCATTGTAGCATATACTTAGTCCAAACTGGGTCTGTTGGCGTAGATATTAAAATGAATCGGGGTTACGTGGACTACTTACAAAACGTTCATTCAATGAAATAGCGTTACCCTAAAAATAACAGCGCCAAATAATCACTTCGTGGTAGCTTGTTGTTACTGTGTTGCACTGGTTTCCCTCTTAACAGGATTGTGAATATTTATTGATAGCGTTAATGATAACTATTATATATAACCAACGAAATATAACGAGCAGTCGTCGTGGCCTAAAGGATAAGACGTCCGGTGCATTCGTATGTAGCGATGCACCGGTGTTCGAATCCCGCAGGCGGGTACCAATTTTTCTAATGAAATACGTACTTAATAAATGTTCACAATTGACTTCCACGGTGAAGGAATAACATCGTGTAATAAAAGTGAAACCCGCAAAATTATAATTTGCGTAATTACTGGTGGTAGGACCTCTTGTGAGTCTGCACGGGTAGGTACCACCGCCCTGCCTATTTCTGCGGTGAAGCAGTAATGCGTTTCGGCTTGAAGGGTGGGGCAGCCGTTGTGACTATACTGAGACCTTAGTACTTATATCTCAAGGTGTGTGGCGGATTTACGTTGTAGATGTCTATGGGCTCCAGTAACCACTTAACATCAGGTGGGCTGTGAGCTCGTCCACACACCTAAGCAATAAAAAAAAAAATCATACCTAATCATAATTAATCAAATGTAATCAAGTTTTAGTTATATCATAATATTTTTCTAATAAATGTAAATTTAAGTCGTCGTGGCTTAAGCGATAAGACGTCCGGTGCATTCGTGTTGAGCGATGCACCGGTGTTCGAATCCCAGGCGGAAATTAGGCAGCCTATTTATATTCCATAACCGTGGTGAATGATTTGTCATAACAGCTACAGGTATGTCGAGGGGTATGACGCAAAACTCCGCAAAAGTGAAGAGGTGGTACGACAAGGGTATCCAACAAAATACATATATTTAAATAACGAATTCAATTTTTCTTTTACGTCTTCTAGGTCTTCTTAGGTGTAGCTAGACGTTACATAGTCGACAAGCGCGCGCAAATGTGGCGCGGTAAAATTCAAATTTTCGATGCGTTCGTTTCCAAACGTTTGCCATCATACAAAGTTATTATATTATATTAAATAAATTAAATATTGAAGGTATGGAGTTACATAAAATCAGTATGGTGACAAAATATATAAATAAAATCATTATGTTTAATTATTCGTCCACCTAAGTCCTGGAACCAGCTCAGGGGGGGGTCATGACCCCCATGACCCCCTCCTAGGTCCGCCGTTGTTTGTACTGCACAAAATCGTACACCACTTATGCGTTTAAAAGAATACTCAACGGACTGATGATGATGATGGACCTTAAGTACTTGTGATGACCCATTTATAAAAGTAATAAAGCAATAGAATTACAGGAGCAATGTTTTTATTTTTATTGCCTGAGCAGGCAGACGAGCATACGGCTCACCTGATGGTGAGTGATTACCGTCACCCATAGACTTCAGCAATGCCAGGGCAGAGCCAAGCCGCTGCTTACCGTTTAATACTCTCCATTTCTGGAAACGCACTGTGGATGAAAGCAGTGGCTTAAAGTAGTATGAATGAATTATACTCCGGTGATGGGCGGTGCGATCGTAAAAACGAGATGATGGTATCATCTCAAACAATTTCTTAGAGCACTTCCTATACACAGGCACATACGGTGATTAGACGGTCATTAGAGTTATTATTATATCTATATATTAATACGTGAAGCAAAAACTTTGTACCCCTTTTTACGGAAATTGCGCGGACGAAGAAGTATGAAATTTCCCACACTTATAGAGATTATAGAGAAGAAGTGCACAATGCTAATATTTTCTTAAAATAATGCATAAAAGATACACTAAATCAATAAAGAAAACATTACACACACTACCATGTATTTGACACATTAGCGCATGCATACTGTTTGTTTATTGTCAAACTTTTCTTTGCAGTCTGTCAGTTATAGTCTGTCAAATTGAGAATAGATTAAATATTGTTTTCTCTTTATTAATATTTGTCTAAAGTGTAGTTTTGACGAAATCTGTGATTAAAGAAGTATAATAGTCCTTGACAATAGAATCATAATAGTGTACAAACTTATAATTTCCATTAGTTATAGTCGAATTTCGACTACCAGGGGACCACTAGTTATTATTATTATTATAGATTTAATTAGTGCTCATGCTTATAAGATAGAGTAAAAAAATACATTTCATAATTAAAAATTAATACTAATAATAATAAGTCGTAATAATTTTGAAGTCGTCGTGGCCTAACGGATAAGACGTCCGGTGCATTCGTGTTGAGCGATGCATCGGTGTTCGAATCCCGCAGGCGGGTACCAATTTTTCTAATGAAATACGTACTCAACAAATGTTCACGATTGATTTCCACGGTGAAGGAATAACATCGTGTAATAAAAATGAAATCCGCAAAATTATAATTTGCGTAATTACGGGTGGTAGGACCTCTTGTGAGTCCGCACGGGTAGGTACCACCACCCTG